TCCACCAGGGGGCGAAACGGCGAGGGGGGGTCGTACTCGTCCCCCCCCCTCTCGGCTGGCGCATATCGACACCTTTTTTAAACCCCACATTTGTTCTCCCGTGAAGCTCAGACAAGTTGTTTAGAAACCTTCAAAAAAGGTACAGTCACTCGATTTTTCTTAAGTTTGTCTGTCTTGGCAAATCAAGCAATGCCAGAGCAAGCTTACGAACACACAAATTTGATCAGGATCGGACGATTGGACACTTCTAAAAAGAGATCTTTCGTGCTTCCCGGAAATTCACCGGAGAACAGTTGTGGGGTTTAAAAAAAGGTGTCGATATGTAGAAAACCAATAGGGCCGGCGAGGGTTAAAATTGGGTATCATCGGCTTCCTCTCGTGACGGGCAACACGCTCATTTTTTCCGCGAAGCTCTAGCTCTCAGAGGAGTGGAAGATAGAAATATCCCTGTACTGTAGACCCATTGGCTAAAACCTCTACTAGAAAGGTTTAGGTCTTTCAAAAGTGCTACTTCAACAAAACAGCTTTCGCGTGACACGTGCCAGTTGCCACGACGATCACCTATGTATGTTATATGTAGATGTATTAAGAGCAATTAATTACGGGGTAGAAGAAATAGGCTTCCCAACAAAAAGGGCGGCAGGTCGATCAGCCCAACCACTGCAACGGTTACTGAGGCATGAAATATATGCCTCTCAAAAGCGTTACAGGCTGGGCCGGGCCGTTATATGTAAATGCTGATATCTTTCCGTTATCTTAACCCGCGTGGGGCTGGGGGGTAAATTTTACCCCCCCCCTCGCGAATTTTTGCGATATCTCAAAAACGGCGGCGCGCAGCGCCGCCAAACTTTCAGTACCTTTTCTTACATCAATTTGACACGTTTCCTGAAAATTTGAGCGAAATCCGTCGGAAATTTTTTGAGAAATTGACGTTTTAGTGACGTCATGTTCGCCATTTTCGCCTAAAAAGCGGCAAAAGTTCAAACGCCGCTAACGTCTTCATTTTTAAAGGAATCAAGACGTAACAAAAAGGTTATACGTAATTTTACTTTGTCTATCAAATGGCTATCTCGGTTTTTTGAAAATTTTGGATTTTAGCCTAAATTTTTTTTCTCAAAAAACTGACTTTTGGGAAAATCATTATAAAATCCAAAATTTTGAGTCTATCGAAAAAACCGGAATATATGTCAGAGAAATGGTCTATGTGCACCTACATACCAAATTTTAGAAGAATCGGTTCAAAAATGTGGGAGTTATTCAAAATTTTATGACGTTACGACACACAAAATTTTTGAAAAATGACTTTTTTGGAAGTTCTGGACCTCGTACGGAAACAAAAATAGCACCATTCGATTTGCCGTGAAAAACTGCATCAGATAGACACCTTTTTAGGCCTTAACAACCAACTTCAAAATTTGACCTCACTTGACCTGACCTTGACCTGACCTCGACCTGAAATTCATCCAGAGGTGGTCCATATCACTTATTGAGTGTGCCTATTGAATTCTATGAGTAAAATGACCCATAAAACATGTGTCGCACATGCCCTTTTCTATATTTTGTTTTTTGGTGACCTGACCTGACCTGACCGGACCTTGACCTTGACCTCTGAATGATATTGTATGCAACGAATATTGTCTTGGTAGCCTAAGAACACGTTTTGGGCGATCAGTCTCAGTCCATGACTCCATTCTTCGGCAACTACGGTGCAAGGCCGATACTGTAGAAACTTGCAATTTGTACCCTTGACCTGACCTTGACCTTGACCTCAAACTTTAAATTAAGTACATGTTTTTAGTAGTTCGTGATGAGAGCTTTCGATTGGCGTTTGAATTTTCCAAATCGGACCATTAGTTCGGGAGATAACAGGGGGGTAAAATTTACCCCCCCCCAGCCCCGCGCGTTCGGCTGGAGACCCCAGCCCCGCGCGGGTTAACCCTCGCCGGCACAGGGGGTGGGGGTTGATGCACCCTCCCCCAAGGTTTGTCGCGAATAACTCGCGTAAAAAGCGGCCGATCGCGACGAAACTTTCGATACCCTCGTATTGATTAATATTACACCTACCCTGAAAATTTCATAACCCTGACCCAAATGACCTTTGACCTGTGACCTCTTTTCCGAGACCATGCTTGACCGGAATCGCGATTCGTCGTATGTCGGCTCGCTTTAGCCGCGCGTTTGCAAGCTTTTCGTGGTTTCAAACGTTCCAACATGTGATTTGATGTTCCTCCCATGCATTAGGGTGGTTGTCAAGGTCACCTGAAGGTCAGGTCAGGTCAGGTCATTGACCTTTGGTGACATCGGTTCACTTTTTGGAGTTTTACATGTTTCTAGGCTAGTTTTTGGAGCTGATTTCGAATTTAGCAACCATTTGTACATTTACGAAGTAGTTTTGTTGCCTTCGTAACATGTTACGAAGCTGTCAGAGGCGGTTGACACGCATTACGAATGCCCGTCACGACCCCTACCGGTTGACCTGACCTGACCTGACCTGACCCGACCTGGTTTAAATGCTTAGAAACAAAATCTCTGATCAAAACTTACACGATATTCGTGATCAGCACCCCGGAAAATCCCATAGCAGCCACACTTTACGACTTTCTAACAGGTCCCGATTTTCCCGATTTTCGGGTCATTGACCTGACCTGGAAGGTCTCCCGATGACCTAGGACCTTGAAATTGGATATCACCGGCTTCCTCTCGTGACGGGCAACACGCTCGTTTTTTCCGCGAAGCTGTAGCTCGATCAGGGGCAAACGCGAGGGGGGTCGTACCTCCCCTCCCTTGTGCCGTCGATGGACGCAAAATGGCCTGTGCCGGCGAGGGTTAAAAAGATTTCGCTTCGCTTGCGCGGTCCGTTCGCTCGTATATTTCTCCTTCGTTTTAACCCTCGCCCGTATTCGTGCTTGCCAGCGTCTAACGTATATGGGGGGGGGGGGGTCCGTTGGACTCTCCTTGCCGTTTGGCCTCTGATGGAGCTAGAGCTTCGCAGAAAAAAACGAGCGCGTTGCCCGCAACGAAAGTAAGCCGATGATACCCAATTTTATGGTCTTATTTATGTCACTGGTTGACCTTCCAGGTCAGGTCAATGACCCAAAAATCGGGAAAATCGGGACTTGCTGGAAGTTCGTAAAGTGAGGTTGAAAAAGGGATTTTGTGGGGTGCTGAACACGTAGTTCATGTTAGCTTTGATCACATATCTTTGATTTTTTAATGTATTTAGGCCAGGTCGGGTCAGGTCAGGTCAGGTCAACCATTAGGTGACCTGCCGGCCATCCATAGCAGGTGTTGACCACTATTGACAGCTTCGTAGCATACGAGGGCACCAAAACTATTTCATAAATCTCCAAATGGGAATTCGAAATCAGCCCCAGAAACTACCATAGAAACATGTAAAACTCGAAATAGTGAAGCAAGGTCATCAAAGGTCAATGACTTTGACCTGACCTTCACAGGACCTTGAAACCCACACCAAAAAAAAGATTGGAAATTGCGCGGATAATGTGAGCCTCAGCCGACATACGCCAATTCGCGATTCCGGTCAAACATGGTCTCGAGAATCAGACCATGAATCAGGTCAAAGGTCATTGGGGCCAGGGTCATTAAATTTTAAGAGTAAGTGTAAAATTGATTAACTCGAGGGTACTGAAAGTTTCGTTGCGATCGGCCGCTTTTTGCGCGAATTATTCGCGAAAAACCGGGAGGGGTTCCGTTCGACCCCGCTATATGTAAGTGCGAGTGTTAAATCACTAAAAATCTGTCCTTAAAGTAAAAACAGTTTATTCCTCGAGCTGAGAGGCCAGAGTTGTACAGTTGGAGTAGGTACTTCAACATATCATGTAGGTATTTGCTTACATCCATGCATACATTCTCGAATTAAACATCAATAATACCCACTAAAGGCATATTGCTCTTTGGAACGTCGCTTTCGGTATGGGGATATCATGGGTCTGAGCCAGCTGACACGGGTGATACCCCCTCAGTGGGGTTCTGGCATGGCCTGCGTTGGATCACCCACCACCGCAATGGGCGGTTCCTCAAAACCAGCGTAATTGACCGGTGTGAGGCGGCGACGTGAGGCACGCGAGTGCGGGACCGTCCCCATGCCGTGGCGGTCCGGGTTAGGGGAGCAGCCCCCTCCCCGCGCGGCGGGCGGTCGCCCATTCATCCGCGACCCCAACCCCATGACTGAGGGGTTGACAGAGGGCAAACATCACGTATTTAAACTGGGCAAACAGACGGTGTTCTACGCTAGGGACATCTCGCGGCTGTGATTCACGATACTGCTTCGCCAAACTGCCTTTAGATGGTGGGTCAGTCGGTGTCCGTCTGCTGCTGTGCGCCGAGAATTAGCCCTATAAATTACCATGAATTACACCTTCTAGTGTGACGATACAATCACATTATCATATAGGTCGCGTTTAGATGCAAATGAAGAAACGACTGCGTTGAAAAAATATGTCATTTCATCGAACGCTGAAATGCTCGAAGTGCTCGCTAAAAAATGAACTCGCTAACTGAGCCCTAAAGGTCGGCTGCCGTGTTGCATTGCATTTAAGCCAAAAACGCGGGCTGGGTGTAAGTTGTCGAGAAACAATTTTTGGCCTGAAGTGTTCTCTAAAGTATTATCTACATAGATCCAGGGAACATATTTGCTATCTCAATCTATGATGGCTTAGGAGATATTGAATCTTAAGTCCTCCGGTGTACCCTGTTTTGCGGCGGCCCACGTGTTAAAAGCTGCTGAACATTTTTACTTTGACCAAAAAACGCGGGCACAGTTTTGTCTGTACGAAAATGACTATTGTCCTATCGCATTCCACGTGAGCGGAAAATTCAGAAACCAGGGAACATATTTGCTACGACCAGTACTTCTCACGATTCAGACCGAAACGTGAAAAAATAGCCCCAAAACCCTATGGCGGGCGCCTCTCCGCGGCGCCCGGCTGCGGGTCGCTAGTTCCCGAAACGACACACCATGATACGGCGATGACGAGGAGAGCTACGACGTCAACGGCCAGTTCAGCTACACCGGTGACGACGGTGTCGTCTACAAGGTGGTCTACGTGGCCAACGGGAACGGCTTCCAGCCGCAGGGCGCCCACCTGCCCACCCCGGTGCCCACCGAGTACCCGACCCCGGAGGCGTCTGATGATGATGACGATGAGGAGGAGGAGCGTTACGAGGCTCCTGAGGAGGAGGACGATGATGACGAAGCTCCCGCCGGCTACTACCAGCCCCAGTATGAGCGCGTCATCGTCGGCTACAGGCCCCGCTACCAGTAGATTCAAACTTCATTCAGACGGTTGGCTTTGTGCGGAAGATGATACGCTATTGACCAACTGAAATGATTCAAGTCTAGCCGTGTTGTTTGCTATTTATTTGTCCGTGTTTTGTTACTTATATGTGCCAAGGTACCTAATACAAATCAGCATTGATCAGATGCCTTCTAAACAATAAGTGACTGTGTCTAATAATCTAACCAATAAGACATCTATTAGGGCGACAAACATCCATTGGGACATGTGCAGAAGGGCGAAGCGGTACTTAAAAATGATCTGAGGACAACCACCTATTTACCAGTCTCTGGCGGTGAGCCACATTGGAGCACAATCTACCCACTCATTCCTGAGATGTGGAAGCGACCCTTGCTCGTGCGTACGTGCAGTATCACCCTAACCGTGACGTATGGAAATGCATTGCCCGCTGCATTGCCTGAAATGCATTGCCTGCATACATGCCAATTTTCAGCACTGGTGGCACGCTGCACAGTAATTGACGAGTTATTGCCATTGTTGCTGGACCGAACTAATCAAATCTTTGATCTTCCGAAAAACTGCCTGTACAACAACCGTTAAAAACAAAGGCTTTTGCTTGGACTCGGCTCGTACATCATTGGCTGAACAATAAAACTGGAAACGCTGTAAGTAATTTTCAAACGTTTCCTCAGCTGGCTCGAACGCTGTCAGCTTGCTCTCTACGTGGCCAACGGGAACGGCTTCCAGCCGCAGGGCGCATGCCATTTTAAACAATTCGCAGAAACAACAAAATTTACTTGCTACTTCCCTGCCGTGGACCGTGGTAGCTGGTGCTGTCCTGCTGTAGCTTCCCTGAGGTCTTCTATCTCATCCTTGTCGCCATCCTCGGCTGTGGCCGAGAGTGGTGTTCCGTTATGGTGTCGGTACTGGGAATACATCAGTTGCAAAATTGACACCTCTCCTTTTGCACGTGGCACGTGCAGTGGAGGTCACCCGCATGCATCGGGAATAGTCCAGCACATGGTAAAAGTGAGGAAGCTACCCTACAAGCAAAGACCGCAAGTGACTACTAACTAGCCCTCGCCATCACATGGGGTGTTGCCACCCCCCCCCCCCGCTCCAGGTAGTTTTTCTGCTCTGCACTAAACATTTTGTGGGAAAATGGCATGTGCGGACGAGAGTTCATAGGTCCAGTACTAGCAGATCCAGTGGGGCACTGAAATAACAGGGAGCATGACCGCGGCAGGCCGGACAGTTGAAGTTTTTCCATTTACGAAAGGCTTAGTTTCGCACGCTTTGCTCGCTCATTTGCAACAAAGACAGCCGGCGTTGCGAGATTCAGAAGTTATCCGACATTTTTGAAACAGCTGTTCATGCACCTTTTCTGCAAATGTGAAAATTTCAGACCAAAATCGCTCAAGGTAAGGTCACCAGGTCTAGGTCAGGTCAATTGAACTTATACCTTAGAAATAGTTATGCCTGCCATAGCTACACCGGCTCGCTTTGAAAACGCTCAGTGATTGATAAAGAGTAACAATATATGTAGCTACATAGAAATTTTTCTCTTGGAAGTGTGATACGGTGATCTGATCCAAGGCCCGGTCATTTTGCGCCCTCTCCATTGCCAAGTCAAAAGGAGAAAATTGGAAGGAATCTCTTTAGAACAAACGTCATTATAAACACTCTCAAACATCAAGTTGCAGACAAAAATGACACTGAATGGAAAAATTTCACCCGTGACACCTCATTATGTCCCTGAGGTCATCTCTGGCCATAAAAGATCTCCAGCAGTTATGCAGCATAACCTTTTCCGGTCAGGTCATGGCCTTGAAATGAGGTCAAATTTGTGAAATGACCCTTTACGGATCAGATTATGGTTCATTTGACGCGCCTCGATAAGAGGAACACGATGCTGGCAAAAGCAAAGTCGTACTTTTCTGTAGTCAAAAGTTGTTACAGAAAAGGAACACTTGTTTTGTAAAAAAACGGTTATGTTCGGAGCTTTTGCTCTCTGGAGGCTAAACCATTGGTCTGCTATCCAATCTGAAAGCTTACCCAAGAAAGACCGTTAAAAGGGCTATCAAATGCAACTTCCAGCGGCGCTGCATCTCTATCGGTACCCGAGAATTGTGCCGATTTGTCACAACAATGTTGCAATAGGCAATTTGACCTGCGATGACCTCTAATGACCTGACCTTTGACCTGACCTAAAGATGGCCGAAGTACTTCCGTCATATCTTTTACCCTTTTTCGATTACATACTGCATAACGCGTTTCACTACGTCGCTAGTAGCCAAACTAGGGGGTGGAGGTGGGGGGTGAGGGGATGGGAGGGATTTAAACACTCTCGGGCCGTCGCGGTTGGCCCAGTGCGGGTTTAGTAGTCGCTCGCTTTTTATAGTTTTGCTACGTTTTCATTTTTGCCATTGTTTTGAACTCGCATGCATGAAAATGTCAATAAGATTTTACGCTTGCCGGAGATCATTGAACGCCATTATTTCACGGAATGAAAATACGTGATAACTGCTGGTTTGTATTCGATACATTGGTACAAATAAATAACACAAAACAAATACATAAATAGCAAGCATCACAGCTAGACTCGAATCTTTTCACATGGTCCGAAACGTATTACATCAGTGTAAAACCAGACGCCTGCCACACATGGGCATAGACGTTTGGATCTACTGGTAGCGGGGCCTGTAGCCGACGATGACGCGCTCATACTGGGGCTGGTAGTAGCCGGCGGCAGCTTCGTCATCATCGTCCTCCTCCTCAGGAGCCTCGTAACGCTCCTCCTCCTCATCGTCGTCATCATCAGACGCCTCCGGGGTCGGGTACTCGGTGGGCACCGGGGTGGGCAGGTGGGCGCCCTGCGGCTGGAAGCCGTTCCCGTTGGCCACGTAGACCACCTTGTAGACGACACCGTCGTCACCGGTGTAGCTGAACTGGCCGTTGACGTCGTAGCTCTCCTCGTCATCGCCGTATCCCTCCACCGGTCTGCCCGACTCGGAGGCGTAGATGCCGTTCTCAGTCTCGAAACTGAAAAAGAGAAAGAGAAAAAACACATGTTAGCTGTTTAGCAAAATCTCCGATATACGTGTAAGGCGAGATGGTTCCCCGTTTTTTTTTTCTCACTTGCAACGTCTTACATCTTCTCTTTTCCAGATGTTTATGGCATTGAATCATCGGAAGATATTTAGCACACCCTTATCGGAGTTTTCAGTGACATCCACTCAAGGCCTTAGTCGTGTCAACTTACTGAGAGTCGTAGGACTGGTCGTCGCGGAGCTCTGCCTCCTGCTTCAGGATCTGGTACACCTTGGGGGCGTACGTGGGGGCAGCGTAGCTGCGGCTGGGGGCGGCGGCGGCCACGGCCAGTACGGCGGCGAGAACGAGCTGTGAAGTGGAGAATAAGTTTTTGTTAGTTTGGCGAAGGAATGTCTGATCTTATAGCATAGGCAGGCAGAAGATGTGGAAAGCAAATAGTTACGTTAAAAAATGGTGACACTATATCCATTTCACTTTCGAAAAAGTGGGTTTTCTTTTTCACATGAAGATTTTCTTCTCCTCACCAGCTTCATGTTGTGTGTTGTCGTGGATCTGTCGGTGTGAGATCTGATGCCGGTCCCATCCCCCGGTCCTCCTTTATACCGTGGCTCGCAGTGCTGTGCAGGTAGGACCACCCGTACCCCCGAAGGACACCGCCGTCCTTCCCCCTCATCTGTCCTTCGTGTGGAACTGGGTCAGCGTGGCGTGGTGGGCCGCCTGGTGACCGTTAGAGACTGACCAGGGGGGGGGGGGGAGGACATTTTATGGCCCGGAATGAGCACTTTTGCTGGTCAGTTTATTTTCCACTCCAAGGGAACGCTTTGGGCAGGCGGCAAATTGTCTGCTGGCTTCAAGCAGTTTAGATTAGATAAAAATAGATTAGACTGGATACGACGTATAACAATCTGTCCTCGTAACTAAGATAAGTAAAAACCTATTTAGGAACGATGTAGTTTCGATTTGATCACATCGCGATTCCGCGCGTTTATTACCTTACTTTGTGTTTCTCTAAGTTTGAGTGGAGAAAGGACAAGTGAAGGACTATTTAACGCTTGAGCTATAGATCTTGGTGGAGTGTGCGTCGGGCCATTGCTTGCTCGGCGCCAACCACGCCGGGCCAGGAAACAGGTGTTTGAACAAACCCCGTCTAAATCGACTCCTGGGTCGCGAGCATAAGCGGCGTTCGAAAGAGCGTTAAAAAAACATGAGGAAAGTAGCGCGCTCACTTTAAGCTCAGGTCAAATGTCAGGTCTCTAGAGGTCATGAAAGGTCATATTTCGCCTATTTCGATGATTTTCGACAAAGCGGCGCCTAACTCATGGAAACGATTAAAGATAGAGTGCGACAGAAAAGGGCATTTGATAGCCCTTTCAAAGCTCTTCCTGAATTCTGGATTATGAATTCTTGAAAGGTTTGACCTATGGTGTCAGCAATTTAGCCTCCATAAGGCGAAAAGTGTCAATGTTGACGTTTTTTTTTGAAAATTTTCTTCTCAAAACTAGCACAACATTGATTTTACGGGCAACTGTTCCTCTTGTCGGGACTCGTTGAATGGACTATAATTTTCTTATGTGAGAAGAAGCGCATGTCAGACGAAGAAGTGAACCCTCGCCCTGGAAGGGGGGTTGATTCAACCCCCCCCCCCCCCAAGGTTTTTCGCGAATAAGGTAAAAACGGCGGCGCGCAGCGCCGCCAAATTTGGCACAGCCTATGGGACAGCCTTTTTACATATGACCTAATAATTTAAGGTCCGGGTGACCTTGTGTCAGGTCACCAGGTCAGAAAAACCGGTACAAGGTCATGGTCAAATTTCAATTTTCTTTATGCTCCTGTCCAGCTCACAGTTTTGGACTGATTTCCTTCAAACTTTCAGGATGTGCTAAGTTCACCGAGTTGTGTAACATATAGTTCGTTTTTTTCTGTTACTGACCTCAGGCCAGAGGTCATTACGTCGTAAGGTTAAGCCTATGGGAAAATATTCAATTCGAAAAATACTGGAGAGTGGAGATATCCGCTTCGTTCTATCACTTTTGTGCCTTGAAACGACAGTACTTAACATTATGTTACTTGGTGCTTCTTTGTTTGGTGTACTTATCTATGGGTTAGGTCAAATGAGGTCAACTGAGGTACTTAAGATGTGCTTAACTTTTCAAGTACACTTAAGCCAGCAAAAAAGTATATCATTTCACGCGCCTTGACGTGCTGAGTTCACTGGTGCTTTTGTTTTGCTCTATCTCGAAATTTTTACATTTATACCCCCAAAACCCCCCTAAATATTGACCTAGAGCAACCAAAGTTGCACAGGGGCGAGCATTTTAGAAGGTTCACCTACCTACCAAATTTGGTGTTTCTAGGTGCCATAGGAGCCAATCGCGAGGGGGGTCGCATCACCCCCCCCCCTCTGCCAGGCCGTGTTATGAAAAATGCCCTGCCAGGGCGAGGGTTAATGTACTAGTATAACATTTAACATTGTCCATGTTCCTCGCAAGGGTACTGGATAATGTAAAGCGTAAAATGTTGAACCGACAAAAATGGTTTACGCTCACTAACAACATTTTCGAAAGGAAAATACCTCTTTTCTGATGACATTTTTAGGCCATATCTTATTAGCTTAAACATAGACCCCTGTACAGGGTGCATTTTCACATTTTTTTTAATTTTCGGGACATGTCCCGAAGGTCCGATGACATATACCAGCCATGCTTTTTGTCAATAATTCTGAATCGACCGTAAATTCAGCGTCGAAATTTAGCATTGGCATTGGTAACAACCGTCCTCAAGCAGCTTCACCGTTTTCCCCTCCCATGCATTCGTTCCTTCATGAGCTCACAAAATGATTCACTTCTGACCATGAGTCAGGCATGAACACGAACGTCGCAAAATCGGGTTGGTTTTGAAACTCTCTGTTTATCTGAAAAAAAAAATGTTGGATGAAATTTGTAAGGACGAAGCATGCGAGACTAACATCGTTTTGAACGACCTTCGTGAGACAGCAGACTCGTGTGCCGGGAAGCAGCTGAAAATGCGTTTAAAACTATTGAAAACTGGCAAGAAGCTCACATGCAAAGCTAACTGGTTTCAAAAAGACAAAATAAGACCTAGACCTAGGTAAAATAAAGCCAAAATGGTGTTTAAAATTATTCATGACATCTATCATGCTAAATTTTTCAGGAAAATAACACAAAAGTCAACAATGCCACTTAGAATTGGCCAAAAAACGTCCGTTAATGTAAACTGCAATCTTAGGAATTTTCAAGAGGCTGATCTGGAGCGATCAGCTTTCTTTCTTTCAGACAAAAGAATCCCGACAAAACCACACGAGAGACAGGTTTGGGCCATTTACAAGGCAGAAGCTCTCCTGAGAAAAATACACCGCAACCCAGCGAATGTTTTGGCATGGGCAATGACAGCCGCTTGGGATTTGCAAAATTTGCACAATGTGGCTCAAAAACAGACGGTCGACACTTTCTGCTACGATATGCTGCGAAACATTTACCCCTGGCACTTCCCGCTTGTTCAGGAATAGGGTCGTTTTGAAAGGGAAAATGGTGCTTGGAGTGTCGGCGCCAATCTTCGTGAAGGAGCTGGCGCCAGAGAATGCCACAAAATACTCATGAGTGATGCCGTTGCAAGCTGTCAGCTTTCAGGGAGAAGTAGATGTTGTCGGGGAACTCGTCAAACCAAAATTTGACAGAGAAACTGCAGGTGATTCCCCTGCAAGAGCTTGAAAGCAGGTAACCTTTTACCTATCAGTCTCCGGAGAGAGACGAAAATCGGTATAGGCAAATATTTTTGTAGTTACAGCGAAGGGTTTGGTTTCCAAAATTCCGAATTACTTTTCAAAACATTTGTATTTGTCTAGTGTATGCATAATCATCGAAGCCTTAGATTTTTGGCTGGCTTTTATTCTTCTTATTCATTGCTTAGGACATTGGACATTGAAATTCCTAATGGGCATTGAATATGTGTCGTCAAACTTTCGGAACACCCTGTACGTGTAGGTCCACGGTTCAAACAATTTATCAGATTCGTTTTTAGCCAGCTATCTAATCTAATAAATGATCAAAGGGCATATGCCATCTTGTTCGCAGATTTAGGATTATCTCCTCGTCCACTCCCAGTTTAACCCGCGCCCTGCTGGGGGGGGGTGTTTGAACACCCCCTTGTGGTTTTTCGCGAATATCTCAAAAACGGCGGCGCGGAGCGCCGCCGTTTTTGGTACACCTTATCGTACATCAATTCTACACATGTTGTGAAAATTTCAGACCAAGGTCATTCAAGGTCAGGTCACCAGGTCACTTGAAGTGACCTCACCTCATAAAAAGTTTCAATGTCTGTCATAGCTACACCGAGTGACCGATCGCTTTGAAACTTTCAGCGATTGCTAAGAGCAAAAGCATGTACAAAATGTTTATCTCAGAATTTTGATATCGATGACCTAAGGTCAGGTCAATTTTGCGACCTCCCCATCATAAGTCAATGGGATAAAATTGAAATGCGCCTCTTTTGTACAAAAGACATTACAAACACTCCCAAACACCAAATTACAAGTGGTTTAGACACACTGAACATGAAAATGGTGTCCGTGACCCTTGTTTATGCCCTGAGGTCATCTTAGGTCACGAATGGTATCTAACAGTTTTTCGCATATAACTTTTGATAGAGGCATGCTAGAGCGATGAAAACGCCTTAGATGTGTTCAGCTCGACGATACGGATCGACTGATATGCAACATGACCCTTTCCGGTCAGGTCATGACCTTGACCTGAGGTCAAATTTTCAAGTTGACCTTTCAAGGTCAACTTATAGTTCATTCGATGCGTCTTGACGAGAGGAACACAATGCTGGCAAAAGTAAGCTCTTACAAGGCTTGGGTCAAAAGTTATTGCAGAAAAACTGTTTCCGAAAAAAATCGGCTATTTTTGCAATTTTTGCCCCCCGCAGGCAAAACCGTTGAAGTTAGGTCAAATCTGAGAGAATTACTCAGAAAGGGCTTTAATAGGGCTATCGAATGCGCTTTTCCGCGGCGCTGTAGCTCTATTGGTTCTCGAGTTATGCGTTGGCTTCTTGGAAATTGTCGACATTCGACCTGGAAATCGGCGAAATTTTGCCTTCAATGACCTCTGGTGACCTGACCTTTGACCTGACCAAAAAATTGACCGAAGTGAATTCGTCATTATTTTTGACGCTCTTTCGAACGCCGCCTTCCGCGTATCGCTACGTGGCCCAGGAGCCGAGTTACAAGGGGGGGGGGGTGTTCAAACACCCCCCCCCCCCAGCAGGGCGTGGAAATCCAGGACCCCCAGCCGGGCGCGGGTTAAAAAAAGACGACACTAACGGTCACCGTTCGTCTTCCCACCCATTCCCGAAGTTGTCCTTCACCCCCCCCTCGTTAGGACTGCGGTGGGGAGGAGGGGAGGGGCAGAAGTGTCCTCCGACCTCCGGGGTGCGCGTGTCCTTCCTTGACCAAACGGGGGTTAATTGTTCCACTAGCTTTAACGGCACAGGGACGGTATAAAAGAGGACGGGTGGATAGAACCGGCATCAGATCTCACACAGACAGATCCACGACAACACACAACATGAAGCTGGTAAGATGAAAGAGCACAGATGCTAGTAGCACCTTTACGAGCTCACTAAATCAATGAGTTTTCCTTCTCACAATGACATTCATTTGATAGGAATAAAATAAAGTTTAAAATTTAAGGAACATAATGTTACAGCAAAAATATGAACCTATTCACAATTGACGACTCACCCCTGTTTTTCACAGCTCGTTCTCGCCGCCGTGCTGGCCGTGGCCGCCGCCGCCCCCAGCCGCAGCTACGCTGCCCCCACGTACGCCCCCAAGGTGTACCAGATCCTGAAGCAGGAGGCAGAGCTCCGCGACGACCAGTCCTACGACTCTCAGTAAGTTCACACGACTAGGGCTTTGAGTGGATGTCACCGAAGGCTCTGATTAAGTTGTTCTAAATATTTGCACTTGTTACGGATAATCATTCATTCCATTTCAACGACGCTCATATTAAGTTATATAGTAATAATTTAATGAATATTCTGGAAGAGAAAGTCGCAGAGAAGTAAGCAATGCAATTAAAAGCACTGGGCAGTGTAAGAGCACAAGGAGTAACAGTAAATTGCATTTCATGCCGAGAGTGCACTGAACACTGAACAGCTAACAATGCCTTTTCTCTTTCCCTTTTCCAGTTTTGAGACAGAGAACGGCATCTACGCCTCCGAGTCGGGCAGGCCGGTGGAGGGATACGGCGATGACGAGGAGAGCTACGACGTCAACGGCCAGTTCAGCTACACCGGTGACGACGGTGTCGTCTACAAGGTGGTCTACGTGGCCAACGGGAACGGCTTCCAGCCGCAGGGCGCCCACCTGCCCACCCCGGTGCCCACCGAGTACCCGACCCCGGAGGCGTCTGATGATGATGACGATGAGGAGGAGGAGCGTTACGAGGCTCCTGAGGAGGAGGACGATGATGACGAAGCTCCCGCCGGCTACTACCAGCCCCAGTATGAGCGCGTCATCGTCGGCTACAGGCCCCGTTACCAGTAGATTCATACGTCCGACACATGACAGACACATGTGTGACATACGTCTGGCTTTTACGTGATGTGATACAACGATGACCACGGTAATTGATACATGTTTTCGTCACTGTGCATACAATGCTATTTATTTGTTTGTGTTGTGCTATTTATTCGTGTCCATAAGCTGAATACAAAACAGCAGCAATAAGATGCATTGTATGACCTCTTCCCCTTGGAAATGTTCGAAGACTGATAATGCATTGAAGATTTTTCAAAGATGCAGACACCGATACATATTTAAGTACAATGGAATTGGAGTATGTGTTAGGGCCTATCGATCATAATCCGAATTAATGGAACTTAACTCTGCTAAACAAGATGTAAAACGATAAGGGTGCTAGAGATTAGTAAATACTCAGCTTCTCCGAAAAGGTAATTCTATAAAATACCTATCTGCAGATGGGTAAACTTTACCTTTTTTGAAACGCTACAAACATAAACTAAAAATTGACTTATCATTTGTTATACTGGATGTCTCATATAAATGAGCAGGAGCTTTACGCTAAAAACAAGCGTGCTGCTCTGTACGAGAGCGAGCCAATTCAATTCTTTAGGCCTCAAGTCAACCGGTGGTCAGGTTGATAACCCAACAAAAAATACGGATTTTACTTCGCTTTTGGCGAATAACTTACGAAAAACGTAGCAGAACAAAAACAATGGCACCACATCTGTCTCGTTCAGACGCATCGAGATGTGTACTTGTTTTCGGAAAAAAGTTAAGATTTTTGCTGTCGGAAAAAAATAAAAAGGTCCTTTCTAGACAGCCAAAGGTGATCTCAATTTTCAGATGACCTCAGTTGATCTTTTGGATGGTCCTGTACACATAATGACTCGCACACCTATTGTGAATTCGTAGGCGCTGATCACGAGCAGCATTCACTTCGATATGAGCAATGTTTCTGATTACTGGTGCTCAGCAGAGCCAAAAGGAAAGAAATATAAGACTGAGCTGAATCTGCAAAACTGTAGGCCTTGTGAACGACCCAGTCCAGAGGCAATTGGCGTTCCTCAAAATTGTAACTTCAGTCGTTACTCATTCCTTCACTCCTATACGAAACGCATTTTTCGTTCTTCACTTTCCCTTTCTCTACAGAGACAAAATGGAATCGACTTGGCCGGCTGCTCCGCTAGGCACTATATTATACAACAGACAAATATGTACATACCCACTAAAAATGAAGTTAATTAAACAATTCTGAGACAGAAACAGACGTCAATTTTAAGCAGGGGCGGAGAATTGTCATAATCCTAGGGGGTGCTTTTCAGCACGACGGGCTGGGACAGGGGACAGGCGGGCTGAGACAAGACAGGGGACTGGCGGGCTGAGACGAGGGACCAGTTGAATGGGACGAGTGTCATGCTTCGAAACCGGGGGAGGGAGGGGGGGGGGGGGCTGGACTGGAGCAGGGGACTGGCGGGCTGAACATTTGAAGGCCAGGGTTATTGCATGAGACAACCAGCGTTCGGTTAAACCCTAAACAGAAACACTTTTGCTGCCACATCAAACGCAGGAAATAAGTTGCTAACGAGCCCGCTTGGATAACAAAACGTGCAACAAGGTAGCGCAGGTACAAAGAAACCGAGTTAAATTATAACCGTGGAACGAAAGGCCAGTATAATGGATGTTACTTGGTTATCGCCTTTCATAGTGCCACTAGTCGGTAGTCCAGTGGCGTAGCCAGAGATCAGCGAAAGGGGGGGCATGGTGCTCGAGGGGGCGACTTTTTCCCTTGAGAGGGGCGCCATTGTCAGCTAGTGACAGGGGTGTCAGGCTAAAATGTAACGTCATGTTCATGCATGATTTACTATAGGTGTTGCAAAATACGAGTATATGAACCAGCTTTCGCCGATTTTTCATAAAATCCAATACATGCAATTTGCAGCCCGGTGTTTTTTTTATCAAAAAACCTTGATCTTGATGAATTTTTAGCATGATATAGGAAGCGAGCTCAGGCTGCAGACATTTTATTCTCAAAATACGCATCCATGCGAATTCGAAGCGGTAAAATATACGTTGATCAATAAGCACAATCTATATTCTTTGCAAAAAAAAAATACAGGCTTACTCACTGATCCAAAGTGACCTGTGGGCTGCAGCCTGTGGTCGACCGGGGTGGCCGTGCTTAGAATCTCAAACCGCACGTATGTAGGATTCACGCTGCGACTGCATTGCCTAAATTGGGATCAAGGAAAGACTTGAACATTTAAGACCATGAGATCCACCATGAGATCCCAACTCATTGTCATACCAGCAGCCACTGCAGTCAGAGGCGACCGAACGCTGACATACCTACGTTCTGGATTTTTTTTCTCTCCACAAATCACCTTTACAATTCGATGTCTAGTGCGTGCAGCCCCTACTTGTGGACATGCATGACTGCCTCCAGTGACTGACTGTCACTAGCCTCCAGAGGGCAAAAACTCCAAAATTGCAGTTTTAATCAAAAACATTTTCTGCAATAACTTTTGACTCAAGACAGTGACGACATTTATTTTGCCAGCATCGTCTTCCTCTCGTCGAAACGCGTCGAATGAACTATTCGTTGACATTGTAAGGTTATTTTGAAAGTTTGACCTCAGGTCAAGGCCATGACCTGACCGGAAACGGCCATGCTGTATATCAGTCGATCCGTATCGTCGACCTGAACACATCTGACGTGTTTTCACCGCTCTAGCACGTCTCTATCAAAAGTTATAGCCAAAGAACTGCTGGTGACCGTTCATGACCTGAGATGACCTCAGGGGCACACAGAAGGGTCGCCAGGTGCATTTTTACGATTCAGTGTGTTGTGTTTACCCATGAACCGATGTTTGAGAGGGGTTTGAACCACATTCGTTCAAAAGAGGGGCATTTCAATTTTCTCCAATTGACTTATGATGGAGAGGTTGCAAAATTGACCTGACCTTAGGTCATAGATATCAAAAGTCCGAGATAAACATTTTATACATATTTTTTATCTTATCAATCTCTGAAAGTTTGAAAAGTGATCGTTCAGTCGGTGTAGCTATAGCGAGCCTTTAAACTTATTCTGAGGAAAGGTCACTTGACGTGAGCTGACCTTGAACGACCCGGATCTGAAATTTTCACAAGATGTGTGGAAAAGATGTATGAACAGGTGTACCAAAAACGGCGGCGCTGCGCGACGCCGTTTTGGAGATATTCGCAAAAAACCTAAGGAGGGGGCGTAAAAACGTCCCCCTCCCCCAGCATGGCGCGGGTTAATGGGAGAAAATTGAAATGCTCTTCTTTTGAACGAAAACACCCTCAAACATCTGGATACAGGTAAATATGACACATGTAATCGGAAAATTTAACTCGTGATGTGACTGGAGATGTCAATCGGATACCAACTTTTTGGTATACCGATACCAAACCGATACCAACTTGGTATTTGGTATTTCAATCCTAGTGTAATCGGTATTTTGTTGGTATCATGAGCCCTCGCTAATGTATAAGAGGCTAAAAAATTGGTAAAAAGTTGGTATTTTCATCATGATTCCAAATTGGTTTGTTTTCGGTATTTCCCCACGGTTTTGGTTGGTATCGGTATTCCGATTTTCCGTAATTGACATCACTAGATGTGACCCCTTTTATGTTACTGAGGTCATATCAGGCCATGAAAGGTCTTCAGTAGTTTTGGGACAATAACTTTTGATAGAGATATGGTAGAGCAATGAAACACCTTATATAATTATTTTCCTTCTCAACAATACGGTTCGACTAATATGCAATATGACCATTCCCGGTTAGGTGATGACCTTCACCTTTGGTCAAATTCTCAAAATGACCTTTTAATGTCAAATACTAATTCATTTGATTCGTGTCGAAAAATGGAACACGATGCCGGTTAACCCTCGCCCTGGCAGGGGGGGGTCGATGCGACCCCCTCCTAAGGTTTTTCGAAGATAGCGTAAAAACGGCGGCGCGCAGCGCCGCCAAATTTGGCACAGCCTATGGGGCAACCTTTTTACATATGACCTGAAAATTTCAGGTCCGGGTGACCTTGGGTCAGGTCACCAGGTCAGAAAAACCGGTACAAGGTCATGGTCAAATTTCAATTTTCTTTTTGCACCTGTCCAACTCACAGTTTTCGACTGATTTCTTTCAAACTTTCAGGATGTGCTAAGTTCACCGAGTTGTATAACATATATTCCGGCTTTTTTTGAGGTCACTGACCTGAGGTCAGTTAGAGGTCATTACGTCGTAATGTTAAAGGAAATAGTTCACTTTTAACATGGGGTTTTGAGCTGGAATAGCAGTTTCGTAGCTTGAGCTGAGACTAGCACAAATCAGGAGCTTTTACGGCTCAACGATCACCATAGACGAAGATATTCCATTTCTCGTTCCGAAAAGAGTGCCTTGTAGAGGAATGCGTGCCTTGCACAGGAATGTAGCCACGTCATCGTCAGCCAATCAGCGTGCTGCTTACAGCCAATGCAGTATGCGTAGGTTTGAGCTACGCAATATGATTGGTCAATGCGTAATAAGCTTCCGCGTCAAAAATTATTTTACACAGAATATAGTTCGTCCTATATTAAAATATAGAAAATAATTGTTTTTACAAAAAGGTTTTATTTTATTTCATGATTATTTTGAGCATAAAAAATCATAAATCAATAGCAAAATACTGATTTCAGGAAAGTGGACTGTTTCCTTTAAGCCTATGGGAAAATACTAAATTCGGAAAATACTGGAGATATCCGCTTCGTTCTATCACTTTTGTGCTTTGAAACCACGGTACTTAACAGCAGGTCACTTGGTGCTTCGTTGTTTGGTGTACTTATCCATGGGTCAGGTCAAATGAGGTCAACTGAGGTCAAATGACGTTTTTGCCAATAACTTGGCACATAATGACGCTAGAGCTTAAAAAATGGTACCATTGTGTTCCTGGTGATCAGCCTAATCGAATGATATGCAATATGATGCAGTTTGGTTAACTTGAACTTAATTTATTAATTTAAGTTTACTTAAAATTTAAGAAAAACTTTAAGTACACTTAAGCAAGCTAAAAAGTATATCATTCGACGCGCCTTGACGTGCTGAGTTCACTGGTGCTTTTCTTTTTTCTCTATCTTTATTAGATCAAAAGTTATAAGCGAAAAACTTTTGGCCTGTTTTTAGCGAAATTTTTACATTTATACCCCCCAAAACCCCCCTAAATATTGACCTAGAGCAACCAATTTTGCACAGGGGCGAGAACTCCAGGGGGCCCACCTACCTACCAAATTTGGTGTTTCTAGGTGCCATAGGAGCCAATCGCGAGGGGGGGGGGGGTCGCATCGACCCCCCCCCCTGCCAGGCCGTGTTATGAAAAATGCCCTGCCAGGGCGAGGGTTAAACTAATCTCGGGCAGGTCTGAGTCAAAAGGTATTACAGATAAACGTCCTCCGCGAAAACGTATATTTTGAGGCTAAAACGTTTACCTTAGGTCAAATCTGAGATAATTAATAAGAAAGAGCTATCGAATGCGCTTTGCTGCGGGGCTGTAGCTCAATCTCTTTCTGAATCCTGATTTACGCCTTGAGCTTTGTCGAAAAATGTCAAAATCGGCGAAATTTGATTTTCGGTTGTCTCTGGTGACCTGACCTTCGACCAGTTCGACCTGACCTTAAAAATGGTCTAAGTAGTTTTGCAAAAGTTTTTGACGCTCTTTCGAACGCCGCCTACTGCGGGTCTCAACGTGGCCCACAAGCTGAGTTAGAAGTGGGTGCTCAAACACCCCCAGCAGGTTCAATTAAAAAAAAAACGCATAGGGTAACTGTGGGGAAAACGCACCCCTGGGTTAAACGCCTCCCCTAAAAAATCGTATTTCTTATCGACGGATAGGTGTTTTATCCTGTCTTTCAGAACAGTCAGCTGCTTGTTTACGTAGGTCTCTATTTCTGGTTCTGCGTCTTGAGGAGCAGCGTGGGTAGGTGCTGATGTTGGTTTTGGGTGTTGTTTTTGTTGTTTTTACAGAAGATTCCTAAGATTTTGATGCCCTCTTTATATCACAAAATTTGCTATTGTGCACATCACTAAAAACTGCGTTTTATTGCCATTCTGTTGAATTTATTATGCTACGGCGTTAGTGGCGCGTTTTTTGTCAATATTTTGTTGACCGGAAATGGAGTGGATGGGGAAAGACGCCTACTCGATGCATGGGGCAAGACGCCCCCAGTTTTCTGAAAGGGGGGCGTTTTGCACGGTGGTGAGAGTGCAGGGTAGCGCCCTGTAGGTGGGTGCCGAAAAGGCCTCTCCCCGTCCTTTTTTGCTGATATATCCTAAACGACTGCAGATATCGTCACCAAACTTTCAGGACTCCTCCGGGCATCCATTTTACACATTGCAACAAAATTTTATTCCAAAGGCTATGATAGGTTGATCACAAATGACTTCAGAATGACGTCAAGTTCTGCCATGTTCATCATTTTCTGTTGCTGGATGGGGTGGGGGCGCTTTGCACATGGGTGTGGGCGTATTACCCAGGGTGTGGGGCAAAACGCCCTTTTGTAAGGGTATGCGAAAACCTTTTTGGGGGGTTAAATACCACACGCAGGTGTCTTTTCTTGGTCTCAAAGTGTAGTAAAAAGAATGAGCTACATGATGGTGCCCAAAGGTTTGAGTAATCTGTGTTGGGTTGAGTGTCAGAAGGTTTCGCGCTTAATGGGGGCGTTTTTGACCTATTCACCCTACGCTGGAGGCGGCACCGCACTGCTAGGCGGGGGCGGTATCGCAATGATGGGCGGCACTGTGCTGAGACGCATCACTTGCATTGAGGGGTGGCATTGTACGGTGAAGGGGCGGCGTCGCATTGGGGGGCAGTATCGCAACGAGGGGTGGCACTAACGAGGCTGCCTTATAAGAAACGCTTGGCACATCCTAGCCCAGCTCTGCGCCGCCTGGCTGCGGTATCTTCAAAAGGGCCCTTGGTGTCGATGAGAGAGCCCCACTGTCAAATAATTACCTAGCGTCAGTGGTTTCTGAGGGGGGGGGGGGAGCGCTATCGATCTTGAATGGGGCGGGGCGAAATTGATCTCGGATGGTCCGACTGGGATTTTCAGAGGGGCGCCAGTGGTTGCATAGGGTCGCCATTGATCTAGGATTGGCCGACTGAAGTCCCGGCTCAGGCGGGCGCCAGTGGCTCTTGAGGGGCGCCAGCGATCTCTGATTGATGGGGCGACTATGATCTTTAGACTGTGTTGAATGCACCATTGGGCATGGATGGGGCCACTGTTGCCTTCAGCAGGGCGCCGGACGCTCTAGAGTCTAGAGGGGAGCCTTGAGCTTGGGTGGGGCGACTGTAGTCTCAAGGGGCGTTGTCTCGGATGGGGCGAATATGATTTTCAGAGGGGCGCCGGGTGCGAAGAGCGCCATTGGTTTCAGAGGGTTGCCATCGATCTAACCCGCGCACCGACGGGGGTCTGCGCCAACTTAGTACCGACGGGGGGGGGGGGGGGCGGATGACCGCCCCCCCCTGAGATCTCGAGAACGAAGCAAGATAGCGACAAGCGGTAAACGGCATCGGATACGCACGGTCAAGATCTACAATTTTGAATAAGGTCATTTTCAGGTCAGGTCAAAGATGACGTCACAGGGGTCGAAAAGTCAAAATGGCGGCGCTAAATATGGAGAGAGTTTTTCTCGAATAACTTTCGAATTAGTCAAGATAGGAACAAACTAAGGGCATCATCGTAATCCTCTCGTCAATCCGCATCGAATGATGTATATGTTGACCTCGAAAGGTCAAGGTCAAAGGTTGACCTCAGGTCACGTGACCTCAAGGTCATCATGTATATCATTCGATGCGTCTTGACGAGCTGAACACAATGAGACCATCCACGCGTCTGTATCTTGTTCCTGTACGGAGTTATTGGCCAAAACCCTTTGGTGACCTTTGATGACGTCACATGACCTCACAGCTGCCCAACAGCAAAACAGACCTCAAGGTAGTGAAGGTTGATCGTATATGAAGTCATGTATGGTATATGGGGCCATTCCGACCCGTTTTAGTGGTAAAAACAGGGAGTTGATTTTTCCCCCATTGACTTATAATGGGGAGGTCGCGAAATTGACCTGACCTTAGGTCACCGATATCAAAATTCCGAGATATACAAATTGTAGCTACTAACGACCTAATAACATCCTGCGACTTTCAAAGGCCTCCGACATCTACTGTAGCTCTGGCACGGTGACAAAGTTGCAAAAAAGTGACTTGAGGTTGGGTCATTCAAAGTGACCTGGTGACCTGACCTTAAAAGGTAGGAAGTTCAAACTTGCACACCATGTGTAAAATTGATAAGGGAATAGTCATACCAAATTTCGCGGCGCTACGCGCCGCGGTTTTCCGGCTATTCGCGAAAAACCTCAGGGGGGGGGCGGATATCCGCCCCCCCCCCGTCGGTGCGCGGGTTAAGATGGGGCAGCTGTGATCTCCGTTTAGATGGGCGCCAGTGACTTTTGAGGGGCGCCAGCGACCTCGGATGAGGACGACTGTGATCTTCAGAAGCGCACCGGACGCTCTGGAGGGGCGTCATTGGGCTTGAATGGGGCGACTTCAGTCTCAAGGGTGGGGGGGGGGGACGCTAGTGGCTCTCTTGATGGCGCTATTGATCTTGGATAGGGCGACTGTGATCTTGAGAAGAATGCAGGTGCTTTAGAGGGGCGCCAGTGGTTTCAGAGGGCGCCATCGATCTTGGATGGGGCTGAATGGGGCAACTGTGAACTTCAGAGAGGCGCCATCAACCTTTAATGGGGCGACTGTTCCGTTCAGGTGGATGCCAGCGGCTCTTCAGGGGCGCCATCGACCCTGGGGGTTCGGAATATTCTGGTTTCCGGAGGGGCGCCTTTCGGCCTTCAACATTGGGGGGCTCAGGTCCTATTTGGGGGTGCCCTGGAGGACATAGGGGTGTCCAGGCACCCCCGAAGAGATCTTGAGTTCGATTCCTGCCTGCACATCACTTTTTAATTTATGTTCCCTCTGTAAAACAGCATCAGCCTAGTCGGCGCTAATTGGGGCGCCATCTGGGCGGCTGGGCGGAAAGGGGGGCCATGGCCCCCATGCCCCCCCCCCTGAATACGCCACTGCGGTAGTCCTCTGTTTCTTGAAATTTCAACAGCGTTCCGGACCAAAGAGCTTATAGCTATTGACAGGCACTTGGATTTAGGCTTATGTCACGCTCAATTCAATAGCCAGTTTCGGGGTTATGGCGCGGTAGCCGATATAAGTCCTATCCATTGTGCTGCGCGTTTAGCTTGAAACTGGTGACTTGGTAATTGTGGCGGCGCGTGATAAGCTTACGATTTTGTCACATCGTGTCGTGTAATTAGCAATGACCGTTTGTAAGACGAAATTCTTTTCATCAGTCGGCCACATTTCACAGCGTGTTACCAAGCGCACACGATCCGATCGCATGTCATCATACTGGTGTCCCTGGAAGGTCACCGACCGACCAGCCACGCCTTGCTGACCTAGACACGGGGAGGTAGGGGGAGGAGGATGTCCTCCGGGGTACGGGTGCACTCCCCTGACCATGGAGGAGTTAACCGTACCACTGACCAGGTAGGTTTCACAGGCACGGTATAAAGGAGGACCGGAGGATGGAACCGGCATCAGATCTCACACAGACGGATCCACACCAACACACACAACATGAAGCTGGTAAGACATGTGGTATGGCGGGTGGTTACAGTGTAATCAAATGTTGCATTGGGCTCCATAAATGAGAATTTTGCAAAGGTTTAGCTTTATTTGATGCATTGTTTTCTTTGCAGCTCGTTCTCGCCGCCGTGCTGGCCGTGGCCGCCGCCGCCCCCAGTCGCAGCTACGCTGCCCCCACGTACGCCCCCAAGGTGTACCAGATCCTGATGCAGGAGGCAAAGCTCCGCGACGACCAATCTTACGACTCGCAGTAAGTTCATGCTTGATATTATTGATCGTTTATGTTCAAAACCGAAAGCTACAACAAGGGCGAGGTAAATATTTGTATTTGTTATAAATAATTATTCCTTTTTCTACTAAACGTCCATCTAAAGACTATGTGAAGTTTCCATTTCATAATCACTGGAAAGCCAGGAGGAAAGATGTTGTATTTGCACACTCCACTAACAATATTTTTCTATTTCCCTTTTCCAGTTTCGAGACTGAGAACGGCATCTACGCCTCCGAGTCGGGCAGGCCGGTGGAGGGATACGGCGATGACGAGGAGAGCTACGACGTCAACGGCCAGTTCAGCTACACCGGTGACGACGGTGTCGTCTACAAGGTGGTCTACGTGGCCAACGGGAACGGCTTCCAGCCGCAGGGCGCCCACCTGCCCACCCCGGTGCCCACCGAGTACCCGACCCCGGAGGCGTCTGATGATGATGACGATGAGGAGGAGGAGCGTTACGAGGCTCCTGAGGAGGAGGACGATGATGACGAAGCTCCCGCCGGCTACTACCAGCCCCAGTATGAGCGCGTCATCGTCGGCTACAGGCCCCGCTACCAGTAGATCCAAACGTCCGACACATGTCCATGATGTGACTGACGTCTGGCTTTCTATAACGCGATGTGACACGATACCGACCGGTGGAAAATAACTCATTATTTGTGTGTTTTATGTTATTTATTTTCTCGTTTGTGTGTTTGTGTGCGTTTGTCCGTTTGTTTCGTTTACCCACGGTATTTATTTCTTGAATACAAAGACTCAATTGACTTTTTGTATCAATATCTCGCTGGAATCATTCTTCTATGTAGTAGTAAGGAAAGTCCTGACTATTTTGTTGTCCGCTTACGGTTATTTTCCAGCAATACGCTCAGTCGACTGTGCTTCATTGAACCATTTGTTTTCTTCGAAACTAACATATCGAGAATGTCTCTTGGTGGACAAGCTATATGAAAATGTCCCCGTTAACTACTTCACACTCATTTTCAAATTACTCTGAAGCGTGCTACCTTTCCCTTCATTATTATTCTGCAATTCGATCATTGATAGACGTTATGCTGCAAAGCGGATAAGGGGATAGGGTAGGGGTTGGAGGCATTGATTTTAGTGGATCACGAATTGGTGCGTCACGGTGGTATGTAGATCGTCCCGGTGCCCGGCGGCCGGGAAGGGATTGTCCTGATGGATCAGCCATTTTATATACCTACTCTGGGTCAGCCGCCACTCGATCACTTCGAGGAGGCTGTATCCTGTATCGTCGACTAGTCGACTACAGAATGATGTGATGCTCCACTCCTCAGAAGCTATCAGTTGACCGGAGCGCTAAGTTGTACCGTTTATCACACAATAAAACGTGTCGATTGTGAGCATTGGGTCAAAGCTATAATTTGTGAACTCAGCCCGTGTGATGCGGCACAGCCTACCACTCCAGGCAAATAATTGCCTGTAAAAAGTGGAACATCATTCTGTAGTCGACTATACCTACTTACCGCAGATGTGGATGACGGACGGATGTGTATGTCTCCCAGCATTCCCGGACCCGGACAACGTAGTGTGTGCGAACTAACTATGCAGACTAGACCCCGCGGCATTTAAACGAGCAGTGAAACGTATTTTTACTCGGCGATGACTTGATGCGTGACTGTGTGTACTGTGTGTGCGTGTGTGTCATTGTGTGTGTGTTTGTGCGACATCATTGCCTTGCTCTTTTATTCATCTCTGACTAAGGACACGTAAAAGCTACGCGTTGCTGTAGAGTGTCTGCTATTGTCAAATACAAATTCAAATACAAATACAAATGCAGACGAATGGGATGCTGCTGAAGAAAGCGAGGGTGGACGGGGATTAGGGCGAACTCATCAAGGCTGACAGTTTGATCGGTTGAGTGCCCCCTCGTTCCGGTTCTGTCCGATGGAATGAACATGCATTGCTCAATATCAACAGTTGCGGGGAGCGGCTCACCAGCTGGTGGGGCCTTTAGCCCTGTGTCTCCCTGTATCCTCTCTTCTCTTGGTCCGAATCAATCAAAATAATCAAAACCTTCAAACCTGAGGCGCTCATCAAATTGTTCGGATCGTTACTTCAATCGGTTCGGTACTCGGTAACCCCAGCACACTGCGGTGTAATAGGTTGCAGCCGGCAGCGTCCTCTTTTCTGTTAAGGCTAGACTTCGCGCTAATGAACTATTATAGGTGGCAGCACAATTGCGGTTACGGGCGCTCCAGTGCTCGGGCTGTTGTCTTTATCAGTACGGGCCACGGGGGCGGCCCGGGCCCCGGCCAGCTTTCCCGCAGCTGTTTTGTGCATTGTTATAGGCTTGAGGTGAACTAACACCGGATCTGCCTATGGCTACACTACTGTCTATGGGTCAACTGACTGCTTTGGTTCAACTTGATTCAGCTTGGATCAACTAAGCGGCGCCCGGCGGCGAAAGTGAACGTGATCCCCGTTCGTGACGTCACAGTGGAAGTGGGTCAGTGGTGAGGAAGGTATCCGAGGCGAGTGTGGGGCTAGTTGAACATGTGAATTGAGTGCTGGCACTGCCCGAAGAGGTTCAACCATTGGATAACGTGAATGGTAGGTTCGTACAATTGTTTTTAAATCATATTTTTGTGTGGTTCATTTTTTATACGCTGATAAATGGTGGTTGCTGTCTGCGCTGCTTTCGCCGCTTCCCCTCCCACTGTCTGTCTGCTCCCACTCTTTTGAAGTAGGTTAATAGATTAAATAATAATGTAGCATTTCTTGTCAAATATTGCTAATTCTATTTACACAGTATGAAATTGACTTCAGTTTAGGATGCATTGCATTATTGTTTGAGGCTTGGGTACTCTCAATATTGATATTGCCAAACAATGTATTTTCAGTGTGATCTGACTTATTGTGGACTAAGGACTGAGATATCCTTTGGTAGCTAGGCAAAGTGGTAAACAGCTATTTCATTTTGTCTCCAAAAATTATGTTGGAGCCTGTTGCCACATCCAGATGCTCACAACATCAAAAGCCGTGACTCGAGCTTGAGGAACCTGAGTTGGGGCAATTGGATGAATGCCGATAAAGAATAGATCAGCGATGCTTCTGAAAATTTAAATCATGTTCTGAGAATTGAGATGATGTATGTCAGCTCAATTAAATGTAAGTTTATATTCAAGTTTTTTGCTTTGAGCATAAGGATGGAATAGAAACCCAAAACCATTTGGTAAAATTGGTTCCTAAGCTTTTGAGTGGCAATTGGCAATTAACTTGCAACAGCAACAATTCTATGTGCATTGTGCAACAATGATATGATATGTGTAATTTCTATCAAAACCTGTTGAACTTTGTTTTATATGTTCATTTTTTGTACCAGTTTGTCTGGCTAGTTTTTGCCAGTGTAAGGCAATTACTTGTTATTAGTAGTTGAGTTCTTAAATTTTATCTGGGGCTAAAATTCATACTGGTTAATGGTTATAAGGCTGTGTTAATTGCAAGCTCGCGCCTCGCTGTTATTGATAATGAAGGAAATGCACCTTGCAGCCTACAGGGCCTTCAATTAAATATGTAACCTATGTTCTTTTAGGTAAACCTGTCTTAGAACAATTCCTTAAGTTTTTCTGTCCTGTATGCAAAAATTTAAAGTCATTTGCACTACGATTCACATATATTTATTGTCAGCTCTGTTACATGGACTGTATTTGAAGAAGAACTGCTGGTCAAGGTGTTGATGAATTGAAAAGATCCTCCTTCTATCCCTTCTATAACGCATGGATTGATTCCATCCATTGAATTCCACGCTGGATTTGATTGATCCAGTTAAATCCCAATGGCCTCAGTCAGTTATTTAGTACAAAGCATAGCTGAAATTATATAAGATGGGGTCAACCATAAAACAATGCTAAGCCCTGTTATCAATTTCCACGAAACTCAGTCCCTCCACATCCTCTCTCCTCTCTCCTTTTCCCTCTATCCGCCGACGTACGCGTCGGGCGGCGCTAACTGGTTCGCCGCAACTGTTAACGGTATCGGCGGCGCTGCCGGACCGCGGCCGGTGGCCGGTTTCCAGCTGCCGGCACGTGCCTACCGGAACGGACGACACGTGTGCTCGGGGGCAGTGTACTCGGGCGTCCTGGCACTGCTTCCGCGCGGCTGTGCCGCTCACGGTCCGTACCTGAGCGATGCCTTGACGGTGGGGTCCCCGTTCGTGAGCCCCCCGTTCGTGAGGGCCCCGTTCGTGATTTTCCCCGCCCGCGTTTTACCCACCCGCGAGGCGTCCAACCCGTGAGTTTTCCGTCAGTGAGGTCCCATCCGTGACGTCCCCGTTCGTGAGGCCACTGCCTGCGGCAACATCCTCGGGACATGTATGATGGGCACCGGCAGGACAACGCATAGGCGATTTGGGCTTTGCATTGTCAAGTCATGGACATTTGCATTAACCTCAAGACAGTGTAATGCCCATAAGCGAAGTCACTCCATTCGGAATATGCATAATGGAGCGTACACGTGATGTTTGTCAACTTCCACGGCCTTGCAACTCCCATGCCGCCAAAGCCACCAAAACGAGCTCTACTTCTACAAACTTATGTTATGACTACCATGTGGCCAGTTGCTGTTACTGAGACCTAGCGAAGTCTGGCATTGGGTTGTATGTATACCGCTGAATTCCTGTTACCACACCGATCGCACTGTTTGACCCGGCAACACTGAAGTGACCTACATTGCACCGGCGCGCAGCCAGGCTCGTCCTGAATCTGATACGGTAAAACGTCACGCCCGGTGGCGTCACACACATTTTTGTGACGTATTGCCCGTTTGGTGCGTGAGTCGTGACGGTGTGCGACTCCATTGTAACGTTTGACAAGTTTGGTGCGTTACGTTCTGACTCAGTTACGACTTACGTCATTTGGTTATGGTAACGCGATGCGACGGGTAGCCGTGTTTTGTGTTGTGTTCATGCATGTAAAGTTGATCTCAGTGACCTTAGTGTGTCGATTTGTGCCCGTGGTGTATCTTTGTGACCACGATGAGTGTATATGACCATAATTTGTTAATGTGACCATATGTGACTGCGTGACTAGGTATGTGTCAGCGTGACCGTAATGAAGGTTATAACATTCTTTGACTATCGTAATTTGTGTCTTCGTCTGTGTATGACCATATTGTCATATTGTTTTTATGCGTGACTGAAGTGTAACCGACGTGTGTCTCTATAACCGACCATGCCTCTTTGGCTCATCCTGACATCCCTCTCTTCTCCAGGTGCCGACCATGCTAGACACGAACCGCGAGCACCTGGTGTGGCCCGGCGTACCGGCCGGCAGCCGTGCCGTGAAGCCGCTCTTCATCAAGAATGGCTCCGACACGGATACCATGCAGCTCACACTGGCCATCCAGGACAGTCCGCACTTCAAGGTAGGATGACGGGATGGATAGCGAGCTGGTTGATTGTATGGCTGGGTGATGGTCTGGCTGGCTGGTTGGTGGTATGATTTGTAGACTGGATAAGTGGTTGGGTAGGTGGATTGAAGGCTGTTTGGTTGGTTGGCTGGTCGGCTGGTTGGCTAGTTAGGTCCTTCGACTTCAATCAGCGCCGAAGCGTAACCGATGTTGTATTAGAGGAAGCCGACGCCCTATGTCGGCAGTCGTGCCGTTCCAGGTCTTTCACCTCGACATACTAGCAGCTTTGCAGTAGAGGATGTCAGTCAAGGTTTCGCCAGGCCGGTGAAGGTATTCGTTTCAAGGGAATGGTAGGTGGCCGTGGGAAGGGGGAGACCTCTAAGGGAACGATTTGTTCGTAATAAGTGTTACCTGTGGCGTTTATTATATGTATGTTCCTAATCACATTGCGTTCCAAATCACGTTATATAAACCAGCTGTCAGTTCCCCAAGCTTTGCGCCCATAATGCAACACCGGGGAGATGAACAACATTAACTCGTTGACCTTCATTCCGGAATCCCGCAAAGCTCCTGCTTCCCTAAGTTCATCCGGCGGTCAAGGGCACCAATATGTTGCATCTAACCGCAGAAATGGCTTTGGTCAGGTCTAATCTGCCAGGTTTTGATCTGAGGAAACCGCAGACCGCCGTCGCACGGTCGGACGGTATCGGACAGTGGGTTTATAAGGCGCCAATGTGATCCATCCGCTACCGGCTGCTAATGGAGTTGAAGGCACCGGACTGTGAGTCGATCCCATACCGTGATGCCATCGAAGGTGCATGTTTTTTTTTCTGGTTTCTTCCGACGTGTCAACTCTGTGAATGAGAGAATCTGAGAAAACGTTCGTGAGAGACTGCTTCCGTAGTTATTGATAAGGATCTACCTACCAAGGCTCCATAGCAGATGAGGATGACTATATAAATGAATCACCTTCATAATTATATGCAGATTATATAGCGCTTCGGTTTCCAGTACATCTCTGCCAATCCAGAGCTTAAGCCGTCCAGGGCATTGGCGTCTAACTACGTAGCAGCTCACCTGCAATCTGCAATCCGTGATGAAAAGCGATAGTTGCATCAGACGCGTGTGGAGTTGCGTGGCGGCTCGCGCGGCGCACATTCTGCCTGCATTGTGGGCGCAGCGGCGGCGAGCCAGCGCGGTGCGTCCACCGGCCGGCTGCCGTGCCGGTTATACTCGTGCCCGCCGGCCGGTGCAGCGGCCGGCGTGACCCAGTTGACACACGGTCGGCTGCCTGGCTGCGCGCCTCAGCCGGGTGGCACTGTGTTGAGAGGTGTGAGTGATGACGTCGGGTGACGTCATCTCGGCACTAGTCAGTGGATACACTGAAGCTGAGATCCATGTGATGACGTCATAATGTTATGTCTGTACAATATACACCTCACAGGCATGATAAAAGAAGCAGCGAGGTGATCGCGGGTACGACCATTGACGTACGTAATTTTTGACGCTGTTGATGCGCAAGGCTATCCTACATGAGAACCCACTGTTGGATGCTGTTATGAGTCCCGAGATAAGTTTTTCTTGTAATCGGAGCCCCTTTTTGTGGGCGCTCTGAGCGACGACCACAGATGTTTTTGTGGCTCATCGGATGTATATCATTGGTCGCTGTCGGTACAAGTACAACGCCGACCTAATTCCTCGCGAATTTGATCCCTGTTGCTCATCTGTCGCTCACGATTCTCGTGGTTTGCATACGTTTATTTATATGAGGTGCGGGAAAAGATTTCGGCGGTAGGGCGTCGTAGGAAAATAATAGCTTCCTATATGAGGCATTGTAATGTTTTTTTTTTAACCTCAGTTTTGCAAGAATCTAAATGCTGCTTTGGCATGTCCGTTGTCACAGTTGTCAACATTAGGTGGTGTGGAAATGTGGTATGCTCATTAGCATGCATACTGCAATTGCATAGGTATGCTGACACACCCATCCTCTCCTACTATGAACGTCAAACCCCTTGAGACCGTACTTTTTTGCGATAATTTTTAAATGCGTCAACTTTTGTTGACAATATTCTGGCAATGTATGTTTCAGAACCTGCCGAAACTTTTATTACTAAGGTATTTTGACGCCAAACGATTATGGAAGGTACTTCTCATTCACTCGTAATGCTAAGGTCAATTCAGGCCCGGGCAGAGGCTTGCGCTCGGCCACACTCGAGCCCCGCCACCAGCGCCATCTGCTCTAAATGCCATCTACCAGCGCCCGCTACCGCTACCAGCCACCGCCCACCATCAAGCCTGAATGGAGCGAGAGACGCGAGTGACCGGTCGCCGGGCAAGGAGCGCCGGAGGGGTAGGGCGGAGCTTAGCGCTGACGTCATTGCGTGGCTCCGCCCCATGAGCGCGTAGCCTCTACCCAAACAGCAGATTCGTTCCGTGAAATTTAACATTACGAGTGAATGAGAAGTACCTTTCATAATCGTTTGGCGTCAAAATACCTTAGTAATAAAAGTTTCGGCAGGTTCTAAAACACACATTGCCAGAATATTGTCAACGAGAGTTGACGCATTTAAAAATTATCGCAAAAAAAGTGGGGTCTCAAGGGGTTTGACGTCCATAGTAGTCTGGCGTAGTTTCGTACCTCTCAGGTTTATTTGCATTTGTGCACCGATGACCGCCTCAGTTCGGACGCTCCAACTCCTAAATCATCATCGTCATCGCTTACATTTGTTTGGGCTCTCTCTGGGTAGCTGAATAGACGCTGCGGACTGTACCGTCTCAGTCTCCGTCACGCTAGTCTCCGTAGCGGGTCGCGGGATCAGCAGTGCCTCTCCCCGTGGGGTCACAGGGGTACGTTGGGTCACCGGGCGCGCAGCCGGGTCACCGGGTGGGGGAACCCAGTGGCAGCTCCCGCCACGACACGCCAGATTAGGGTCACGGTCAGTACAGTACGAATACGGTGATACAGAGAGTGCTGGGGTGCGGACTTTCCGAGGCTGTGTCGGCAGAAAGCCGCGGATGATGTCGGAAACGGGCGACTGCTGGTGGGATATTCGGGAATTGGGAGGAGTGACCGCCAGCAGTGTTGCTACTAGTGCTGGTGCCGTATCAGTGCTGGTGCCTCCTGAGTTGGTGTCTGTTGCTGTCAGCAGTGATCTTAGCCCTTTTACCCATTGACGCTACAAATGAAGGTTATGCACAGTGATACTGCCAATGACCCTGTTATGGGTAATGGTGGTTTTGTGTCGTTTTATGACAGTTATACTGGCCTCGGTGCCTATGCCGGCGCTGATCATGTATCGATGCTGCTGTAATGTAGGCGCAACGTGGTGCAGGGTCCGTTGATGCCATGGGGGTCTGACATTATCGGTGGGTAAAGTAGGCCAGCTAATGGCGCATTGCGACAGCAGAAAGTCGATATTTACCGTCGACGGGACCGCGAGCCATGAATGCCTGCGTGGGATTGCTTCCTGCCTGTTATTGGGTGGATACTGACGAGAATTGGATTGTCGCATCGATCTTGGGAGGGTTAGTAGTTGCTTATCCTTGTAATCCAGACAATTATCAATGAACATAATGGCCCGAGGGTTATATGCGTGATTCAAAGTGACAAATGGAGTACGCTTCACATCAACTTCATCGCTTAGGACATAGGTCACTGTCGTCAGTCATGAACCGATCTGCTGAGTCAAAATATTCGTCAGTTGCGGTATCTCTCAAGAGGTCGATACGGTCTCAGTCAGACACGTTTCATCGGTGTTCTCTGGACTCCTCCCCTCATTCCAGCGAGTTCTGGCCTCTATTCTCATCGTCTTTGTCTCTCCCCTGGGCCCTGCTGTTACCTCCGTGCTCCTCCCCGATTGTGAGGCCCCGGCTCGGTGAGCCGATTCCACAAACCAACCAGGCCCGGCTTAGCGCGCCACCTCCGCGCGCGCGCGACTCGGCGCGCCCTCTCGGCTCGGCGCGCCGCGCGCGGTTCATGGGTCCGCCGGCTGCTGGGGCCCGCTCCTGGAGTCTGGACGTGACCTTGGCACCGTTCACGGCGGCTGGCCGGCGCGCCGCGCGGTCAGCTCGGCCAGCTCACACACGTGCTGCTTCGAGCCCGGGGCCCTGTTCAAGTGCTCTGCGGCCGCCGCGGCTCCCGCGGCCGGGAGGCGGAGCCTAATTTCGGGTAGGTTGAACACCCTCGCGGCTGCGGCCGCTGCGGCCGGCGACGAGAATGGCACAGTTATTTTGGAAGGAGATGCTGATCAAAATTGTGTGTGTGATGGCTATATAATGGCTTTATCACTTCAATTAGTACCTTTTTGAAGCAATTATTCCTTAACAACATATCAAATCAACCGAGACAAAGAGCGAAATCCGCAATGTTTTGTCTCACGCGCGCAGTTTATGTCGAAGTTTCCCTGCGGTCGCTCCCGAGCGACCGCGGGAGCCGCAGGAAGAGCTACGCATTACCCAGAATGCTGCTCTCGCCTGATTGGCCGCCAGCTAAGCTCCGCCTTTTTGGCCGCGGGAGCCGCGGCGGCCGCAGACACTTGAACAGGGCTCGGGGCTCCGCCGGGCGCGGCCACTCCGCGCCGACCGGCCGGCCGTCCCCATGGAATGCTGCCGCTTCCCCAGGGGCGCCCGAGCTCTCCCCAGTCCTCCGGTACTCTCTCTCCTCTCTCTCCGCCGCGGCTCCCATCAGTGACCTCTTTGGATGGGGCTATTGGCGTGGTTCCAGGAAAGACTCGGCCGCAAAACACCGAGAATCAATATCCGCCTGATGATTTTTCTTTTCTTTTTTCGCGGAACCCAACCACATCTCATCGACTTGTTGTGTTTTGTGGTGGGGCTAGACAGTTTACTAAATATCAGTGCCGAGACGTGCTGTGGAGGAACGGAAATGACCTTGGCGGTTTATTGCAGGAGGTACTGTAGGATCGGTGTGGTGTAACTTGAGTGTTCATTTGTTGGTCATTCTAACGCATATGACGTCTCTGTTTATAATTATTCAACTGTGTCTTCTGATGTTATTCAAATGTGAGCTTAGACACGATTCAGGGAATCGTGGCTGCTAGAAATACTTTTTATTATATTTATGTCAACTTGTTTCTCTATTATTAGTATTTTACCGTTTGATGCTGAGGTGGAAACTTAAAAACAAGCATCGCCTACGCACTTCTGTTATTGACGATTGGCGCTCTACGTTTTCGTCATGTGATACCGTCTTCCAGAGGCATTTCCGATGATTTACTGATTGTTCATGTCACGCTATATAAATTTGCCTGTCTATCCTAACTTTTATATCCGCGGGACATCGCTGCTCCGTCGAACCCAGCTTTTATCGGTTACATGATCAACAGCAGACACTGAGCTCCGAATTTAGCCAGCTGTTTCTGTCATATGTCATGGTGTTGATTTATCGTGTCATTTTACAGCTGCTTGGTCGTGGTCCTACGGCGTATGTAAATGGGTCAGTTGGGTTGTTGCGTAAACTACTGGCAGCTCAAGTTGCCTGGGCCTTCTTAGTCTGGCATATTATTGCAGCATGGTACGATGGTAATATAATTATATCGCAATTCTTCTGATATCCAACTCTGACTGGGCAACGCGCGATGTGAATTGTGCATATTAGATATTCAGTCATACACAGAGCAAATATCCTGCCGTGCCCCGTGACCACTGTCCAGCCATGTTTTGTGATCAGCTGTGCTGTTCCCAGCCCTATTCTCTGCCCGTCTACTCCTCCTTTACTCCGCCCTGACCCCCCCCCCCGCCCCTTCTATTCCAGTTCGAGGCGTTCCCGAAGCCGAGCAGCTCTCTGGAGGTGGCCATGCCGCCGCGCTCCGAGCGGAACGTGAACGTGGTGTTCGAGCCGACGTCGTGCTCCTCGTACCGGGGCACTGTGGTGATCCGCACCGGCGGCGGTGGTCAGCTGGAGAGGAGGGACGTCGCTATGGTGAGACGCGGGACGGTTTCAGATCATTATATACTGACTGCGGAGCTGTAGCTCTCAATGCTGTAGCTGTCAATGGAGCTCCGCGTTGTTGACGCGCCCTAAAACCTAAATAAACAACGAGAGCGCTCCATGGTTGAGGGGTGGGCGACTCATGTACCGTTATTCTACCATCGCTTGCATTGGTGCTCTGGTGGTGCAATGATGTACTGACGTACTGGTATGTCCAACGGTTATATGCCATTTTTCTCTGTCAATCTAAAGTGTGGTAGCTTCGTTGTGCAAGGATTGGTTCATGCGAGTATAAACATTCAGATATTCTCCCCTTCCTATTTATCATATTGCAATGACTCCATGTCCCTGCACGGGGAACAACCCAACTGCCTGAATCCGTACGGCAAAACCGATTTCTCTGACCCGCTTTCACGTTGCTTCTCATTTCAAAACGGAAGCCGGCGAAACACTTATAAATAATCGAGTGACGGGTAAGCGGTCTGTTGACCATTCTGGATCTGTCAGTCTGAGAGATACAGCGGCTCTTGTGAGAGGGAGCGCGTCAATGTCTGACGTCTGTGCCCCTCTGAGCAGTGAGGGAGAGTTGGCCCCGGGCCCGGTCTCTGCCCTCCGTACCGTACCCCTGTCAGTGTCGGTAGTTTGTGGAGCCGCCGCTAGGGTGCACTGAAGTGACGTGATCGGAACCGGTATCGCTCTGTTGATGCCGCTGTTATTATTGGTGCTTGTTGGTGGTGATCGACCTGTGGTGTTCCACTGATCTCGTCTTGAATTTCTTGTACCCTCACTATTCCACCATCCTAGTCACAATCGTAAATTGCCTTCTTATCCTCTCTCACATCTGCCAATCGTATTTCATCCATCCATTTGCCTCCTCCCCTTACTATTTTGTATCTCACTGACCTCTGCTCGATTCAGCTGTGCCTCATTCCAAGTTGCCATCCCGCCCCGCCCGCCCGTCTAGCGCCCCCTGCTCGTCTCCATCCATACTGCCACCTGTCTGGCCCACTGACCCGCCCACCCCGCCCCGCCCCGCCAGATCCCTCTGAGCGGCTACGGCGGCGCCTCGGACGTACAAATCTACGTCAACGCGCGCGAGGCGGGCCGGCCGTGCCTGAGTCTGAACGCGGCCGGACCGGGCGGCACGCGACTGGCCACCTTCTCCATCGCCAACATCGGACAGCGGGCCGCCTACATCAAACTTCTGGCGTTCACAGGTAGGTGAGGGGACTGGACGGAGCGGGAGAGGGATGAGGGATGCCGTGGGTGTGGGGTATGACATACTGGGGAGGGTTGGAGTAGACGTATGGGCGTGACTTTGTGTCTGGGGATAGTTGACTTGTAAGGCGTTAGTTCGGTTGTTTATGAGGTGATATTGAAGGGTTGAACGAATCTGATATGTGCAGTGCGGGAGGGGCTTTGGCTGGATGGGATGAAGACGGTGATTGATAGTTTGGGTCGCTTTTATTGATAAGGAAGGAGACCCCCTAAACCCAATATGGTTGCAGAGTAGTATCATGTTTATTTTGTTTGGCTTATGTGTTAAAACTTTACGTTGTGGCACAAGATCTATGGTTGGTCTAGTGTCAGTACTCACGGTAGATATGATATTTTGGGGGATGCATTATACATTTATTGTATTGTTAGGTAATATAGAGTGACAACCTATGGATACTTTTGTGTCGGAGATCCACGCAGGGATTTTTTTGTAAGGTCAACGTTAAACATTTATTTGCTTATTGAACTCTGCCATAATCTCTTCATTTATGACAGTCCTGATCCTAGCGTCGGGACATTAATTCTGGTCCATTTTGAACGCGGCATTACGGCCTGTACCGGTTAGGGCCTACGCTGTTGTGTGTTGAACTCCGTGTCAGTCAGTCTAGATCGTGTCTGCGGACATTTTCGGCTTCGTCTGCTTTTTTGCCGAGATTTAATTTTACAGAACATCGTGCGTGTCTATCCGATTCTTAGCAGGGGACAGCCAGCAGATCGTGTGTTCGTTTACGCTGATTGATGTCTAAACTGGGGTGAACAATGTGTCCGTATTTTTATTGTATCTTGCCTGGTCCCGTCACTAGTGCTCTTGAACTTGGCCGTGACCGTGACGGGCTCGATCTTTGTTCGTGTGTGATCGGACTGGCCGCTCTCTTATCTAGACACTGAGTGTGGGACACGAGAGGCATGCCTACGCGTTAGAGACACCTTCTGTCCTTTGTGCCATGGTTTGCTCAATTTACGTGACACGTGCTGAAACGTTTACTTCATTCTAACGAGAAACAGTATCTAAAGCGCATGCATTCGTTAAAAAGGTGTAGTGCTTACAAACACTTTCTTGAGATTTGCCCTTGAAAGGTTCAAAGCCCTCCGGGAAAGCGACTCCTGACGCGGCGATTCTATGAATGCATCTGATAGCGCGGATTTGTTGCGGTTGTGTTCCTAACTGGCTCCGTTTGATGGGTGTCTATCGCTTCACTCGGTCTCGGATTCCCCAAAGTTTAGCACGCCACGGGTGGTTAGCACGTGCCTGGAGACGTACTCGACACAGGGGAACGACCTGCTAGTCCGGGCGGATCCGTCCTGAAGAGTGCGTGGTCGTTCTCTGTTTCTCTTAGTTACTGAAGTGATACGATGTGAAGGTGAAACGGTGGTTGTGAAGCGAGAAGAGGTAAAACTTGAATAGAGGTGCGTGAACGTCTAGATTTTATCAGTACTCTTGATGGTGTCTTTCCTGTGTCAGAGTGGTTGGTGTTTCGTAAGAGCGCATAGCGGGCCGGTTGGTACTGTAGTCGCAGCTTTCTGATATTTCTCACCAGCGACATACACAGGCATTAGTGAATCTACGAATGTTATCGACATATTTTGCTTTAGTTTGGGTTTCATTACCGCCTTAGTATCCCCGTTCTAGCTTCTCATAGTACATACGTAGTTATTGACCAGCAATGTGCATTCTACAGTTTACCGACGAACGATATACTTTTGCAACACACCGTTGTAATGGAGTGTTGCATCTCTAGTCGGTGGCGTGCTCGGAGGGAAGCCTACGACGTTTTCCCGGCGTCTCGGACGGACAGATGCGCCGCTGCCCGGGTGCCGGCGCCCCGTCGGCCGCACCGCGCTGCCCGGCGTCGGACCGGGACGACCGCCGTGGACGGGAGTGGACGGCGGACGGTGGATTGTTGACCGGAGACGGTGGACAAGAGAAAGTCGTCTTTAGGAGTGGAACAGGTGGACGGTTGCTGATGGAGGATCGACGGTGGACGGTGGACGATTTGATTGTAGACGGAGAAAATGACGAGTGGCTAATGGCTGATGGACGCTTGTCCTTGAACAGATATTGAATTGAATTGTGGACGGAAAAGGAAGATCTGCGTCCTGAAGTTTGATATGCCATTCTCAGAGACCTCAGTGTACCTGTTATGGACTCGGGAAGTGGACTCTGGAACAGTGTGATTATCAGAGACTTGTGTTCTCCCACAAGCCTTCTTAGTGCGGCGTTGTGACCCGAAGAACCCACCCCTTCAGTCTGCCCACCTCACTCATCTATAGCCCGAGCAGACCGTCGTCTTTCTGCGCAGTAACCTGACCTCTGTGCGGCGCCCTGCGCCGACAGCCGGGCCGGGCCGCCGGGTGGGGAGGATGGCCGGGATGCCACCGTCCGGGTGCGGCTCCCCTCTGACGGGGCTACCACTTCAGGATGACTTGCTGCCGGATCTGTTTGTGGATTGTAAGTGGGGCTGAGATGTTCGTCTCTCGCTTGGTTTGTGTTTTCGAGCTGAATTCTGGATTGGATATGAAATTTGCACTGATGTGCAGCTGGCCACATTGTAGAAGACCTGCAGTCATTATATAGAGTTGACTTAATCAGATAATGAGAGTCAGTATGTTTATGTTTCTCAATCGTGACTGTGTTCAGCCATGAAGGTGACCACGATCATTGGTTGACTCTTTATGGTAGTAATGTTCTCGTCTCACTGTTCACAATAATTTATTGCTGGGGAGTACGTCAATCAGTCTCTCTTTTCGCCTGAACGCACTCTGATGCGTGTCTGTTAATACCATCCTCCATCCCCCGCTCTGACTTCTGCAAATGATCGGCGCTCTGAGTTCCGTGTAACCGTTGCATTGTCTTTGTACTTTGCTTTGTAACCTACGCAGAGCGGTATACTTGTACCTTACAATTATTCATTAACTACTGAACGGTGCTAGCTGGCTTGTTTTGTCATTATTTCAAAAAGCATCATTCACCTTCAAACGGCGATGGAAACATGAGATGACAGCCCACCGCACTGATACAACTGTTTTCTTGGAATTATATCTACCGCTCTATGCGATCTGTAAAGGTATCATCATGCCCTAACCACCCTCCCTCCTCTTTATCTCCAGACCTGAGCTGCGAGCGACCGCTGCCGGCTCACCAGGCGTCCCTGCACCCCAGCGAGTTCATTCTGCGCCCGAGCGACTCGCGTCAGGTCAGCGTGGTCACGCCGCCCGTCTCGGACGTACAGGATGTCGGTGCCGTGCTGGTACTGAGCGGTGACGAGACACTGCGACAGGAGCTCCGCCGGCGTCCGCCCGGCGCGCCGCCCAGTCCGCATACACCCGATAACCTCAGGAGCGTCAACTTTCAGGTGTGGAGAGGGAGAGGGGAGGTGGGAGAACGGCAGGGAAGGAGAGTGATGACGAAGGGAGGGAGACGGGACGAGAGAAAAAAACTGGAGGGAAAGAGGGACGGTAATGGAGAGGACGTATCCTAGACCCAAGTTCTACACGTATTCCAAAGCGTCGAGTTTCACTGTTATATGTTTCTTTTTGACTGACATTGTGACTTTGCATTGGCCTGTGTTAGCTGCTGTGAGTGGCGCGTCTTACTGAATATCTCCTAGCCCAGCGGCCTGACTTGACCGCTGTCCCGCGCCGCCACAGGCACCATACGACGGGGAGTCGCAGGACAACCAGGCCGGATCCTCGCTGGAAGCGTCCATTGACAAAATGGAGGACATCTTCTACTCCAACATGAAGAAAACAAAGCTGCCTCTCAAGTGTGAGTGCCTCCTGGGGTCTCTAGGGATTTCTGAGCTGCCTTAGCGCAGTAAAAAAAAAAGATGAAGGATGCGTTTAGCTGTTTTGTAATGATTTATTGTATCTTTTATGTTTGTATCGGTTGCAAGCTGGTACCGACAAGGCATTTAAAAGCAGGGCTGCGGAGTCGGAGTCGGAGTCGGTCGGAGTCGACAGTTGTGACCGGAGTCGGAGTCGGAGTCGGAGTCGATATTGGAAACCCCAGTCGGAGTCGGAGTCGGAGTCACCGAAAATCCATCGACTCCGCAGCCCTGTTTAAAAGGGGGTCGTTTTATTAATTTGTCACATAAGATTACCTCCGTTGATCCCAGTATAAATATAATTCCCTTTTCTCTGTTGGGCTTCTACTGAACTTATATGGACTGTACCATTTGGTGCTGATCTGACCGACACCATGTCCTCCACAGACCTGCCTCGGCCGCCGGCGCAGGCGCCGCAGCTGCCGCCACCGCAGCCCAAGCCGCACGAGATGTCGACGCCCTACAGCAGGTAGGAGCGCGGGCTGACTGGTCCCCTCCCCTTATACTTACTGGCCCGGGCGAGGCATAGGGTAGGGCGCGGGGGTCCTGCCTGCTCTGAGTTCGGAGAAAGGAGAAAGCTGTCTAGGAAAGCGGATGTCTGTGGTTATAGGATGAAGGGCAGACGGCTATGGGGGAGTTTGAGGCAGTGTAGTGGTGATGATTAATAAGAGATGGAACTTAAATGAGGCTAGTGTGTTCGTGGAACGACCGTTATATAAGATTATATGCCATATGCTACATGTATCACTTGTTATAGTCTTTGTTTGTTGTGTGGGGCGCTCGTTATGGAATATCCACAAAACCAATTATTGTCTGTACATGGCTTAAAGTTTCTTGTTAACGTTGTTTCCTTCCTTTTGCGTTTTCGTTTTGTCCTGATCAGCTGGGTAGTGGGTATTGTAAAGTTTTCATAGCACCGGTATCCCCCGACCCCAACCTCTGACATTGGATCAACGGTCCGTACCGGGTACCCGTTCCCTGCATCACGTTTACGTGTCTGGGCACCCTTCCCATTAGTCCTGCGCCGCCTTCACCTTTCGTGACTGTGCCGTGACCCAGGGGTGGCGTGACGGTCCTGTCACGGCCAGCGGCGGCAGAGTTCCTTCTCTGTGAGCCGACCGGTGACAGATGAATCTCCGGGCCGCTCCGCGCCTCTACCCTGTAGTCGTTCTGCACTCTGCCTCCTGCGACGCGACTTTTCCGTCACCTAGCATTTCAGACTGCCCCCCCCCCCCCCCCACTCAGGAAGCGGTGGTGTGACCTTGTGTAATGTGTCCTTTGAGGCTATACGTATGTACTCATGGACCGTGGCTTGGTGTACGACATCCGGCTCGCGATCTTATGTCCTGTGTGGTCTACGTATTTGTGAATTAGTTTATTTGTCATCATCACCAACTGACAAATCCCCCACAGATGAAGTCAGGTAGTGCGTAAGCTAATGACGTTGTGTGAGCATGTGTCTGGTGTGACTTATCTCACACTGTGTTTGTAACCGTGTGTCCTGATGTTTGTCGATTTATCTTACGACCATTCGACTGTATGTGACCCTGTGTGACCGTGTGCTCTGGTGTCCTGTGTGACAGTGTGACCGGTTTTATGACCGCATGCCCTTACCGTGTCCCTCAGACCCAGTGTGGAGCTGCAGCAGGCGCGGACGCAGCTGCCGGCAGCTCCCACCCGGCCGCTCGACCAGCTACAACAGCTGCAGCGACAGACGGTGAGTTGGCGTGGTTCCAGGGGCATAGCGAGTGAGGTGAGGTAGCCATTTCACTGTTGATGCTTACTGTTTCTTGTGGTAAGAGTAACGCTGCGATCGCACCCAGTGTTAGTAATTTATCGTCCGGACATTTCATGGCGATTTGCTTTTAGCAGCGACGACACTTTGCTGTTGTTCATATGAGTAACTGTTGTGATGTCAAAGTACTATTCGTAGTAGTAGTTAATGCACTCTGATCATGCCTAATATCGATGAGTTACTAGCGGCTGTCGGCCTAACCCACGCAATAACCGCACCCTTCCCCTCGCTCTCCCAGACGCCGCTGGAGCTGACGAAGCGCTCTGCGTCTCCGCTGTCGGCGGTACCAGTGCCGGTGGCGCGGCCCGGCGGTCCCCCCACCGACACCGGATGGTGGCCCCGGCCCCCCGGCCAGCAACAACTCATCAGCGAGCGGGGACAGGCCAAACTGCGGATATCGACTAATCATCTGATGTTCGCGAGGACGCCGCTTGGCACGCCCCGCTCGCTGTCCATCCAGCTGACCAACCTGAGCCAGGAGGTCATCAAGTGGAACATCTTTGGGTACAGCATGCCGTACCTCATCACGGTGAGTGGCGTGGTGGCGTGAGCTCTGGAGACTCAGAGGACAGAAGAGGTGTATGTTCGGTTTGTGGTGCTGAGCGCCGGATTTTCAAACTTATTTGGAGTATTTTTGATGGTATCATGTTTGTGCCGCTTTGTTTCGCTGTTGAAGCTTGTAGCTTTGTCTTCCAATCTTTATGTATTTATTTCTAAACGAAAATCAGGAGCAGGGACAAGCCCCACTGACAGGCGAAGTCAAAAGTACAAATAATCAAACAGTATAGCTTCTATCGCTCTATTCTCCCTGTCGTCTATTCAAAGTCCGCTGACCTATCGCCCCCGTCTCCTTGCCCTCAGGGTGTGAACCAGATGGTCAAGTGCGGCTACGACGTGTTCAAGATGCGTCCCAAGGAGGACTCGGTGCGCCCCGGGGAGACGCTGACGCTGCAGGTGACATTCAGTCCGCCGTACCCCGGTCAGCTGACCCAGCTGTTCCAGCTGCTCTGCAAACCGGCCAAGGAGGCGCCGTGAGTAGTGGTGGTGGTGGGAGAAGGAGGGAAGGGTTGAGTGAATGAGAAAGGTAGAGGATTGTGAGTCAGAAACAGTGCAGTGTGTGAACTTGAGTGTGTGAGTGGCATTAGGTTGGGGTTCTGTGGAGTGCTGTTGCGTTCCTAGGTCGATTTCGGAAGACTGCGTGCTAATTCGCAATCATCTACAATCCTGTCTGGCCTGACCATGCCCTCTGAGCGTTTGGGACCTCTGGCCATGACGCTTTGTATTCACTTCAGCAGACACTCCACAGCAGAGTGTGTTGCTGCGCCAGAAGATTGATATGGTATCCCTTGTACCATTTTGACTCCCCCAACCGTTTTATTGATTGACACTGGACACGTAATAGCCACTCTGCTGTGGAGTGTCTGCTGAAGTGAATACAATACGCTTCTGGCCTTTCTGACCATGCCCCTTTTTTCTTTTCTCTATGGCAGTGGCCAGCCGATGGTGGTCTACACGCTGCCCATGCAGATCTTTGGCCGCTGTGTATAACTGACCTGTATCCCTCCCACAGTGGTCAGCCGATGGTGGTCTACACTCTCCCGGTCCAGGTGTCTGGCCGCGGCAGTATCCTGGACGAGGGTGAGGACGAGTCAGACCTGATCACGGCGCCGCTGCACGTGTCGCAGGACTACCTCTTCTTCCGCCACTGGTCCATCTGCCATAAACTGGAGATCACCAACAAGATGAGGGACGAACTGCCGGTGAGAACCGAGGGCTGGAGTGGGAGGGCAGCTGTCTTGATTGCTTGTCTTGATTGTGCTGGTTCACGGGTGGTGCTGGTGATTGTGTAGTTTGAGCGCTTTATTTCAGGCTGTTTTTTAACGCGCATATTTTGGGTGGGGAGTGAAATCTTATTGTGTCGAGTTTTTAGATTGCTTGATTGATATGTGAAGAACGTTTTAAGTTCAGTTGAAAGTGACAGCTGTGCTATGTTGGTGTGATTACATATGTGATTTATCATCTGATTACGTTTTTTGTTTACGAGGCATTTGAAATGTGTCAAGACGCGTCGTGCGACAGTGTCAGTGCTAAATCTGCTCCGACTCAGCTCCGTGAAAACTTGAGCCCTATCACGTGACCCACATCCTGAACTCGTTGCTGCATCGTTCTCACTATTACGTCAGCCGTCTACCTGTGTCCTCCCTCTACCGCCTGACCTATCGTCTGTCGCTCCGTTCTAACGTCCCGTCTCTCCGTTTCCAGGTGGAGTACCGCGTCTCCGGTCCGTTCAAGGTAGTAGCCGGCCCCAACGAATCCACTCTGATGGACCTCACCGAGGGTCACATGATGGCTCCATCGCAGCGCTACGTGCAGATGTACGTCTACTTTTGTCCGGAGCAGGCGGGAGCGTTCTCCGGCCAGCTCAAACTGTGGCTGAAGAGCAGCGGCTGGCGCCATCTGGTGCGGCTCGAGGGGACCTGTCAGGATGTGGACCATATGCTGCAGATTCCGCCGCCCACTGGGTGAGGCGAGCGAGCGAGGGGAGTCAGAGGTCGCTTTAGTCGCCGGGCCCGATGCTCGCCGCTCGCCAGTCGTCCCAGCCAGTCGTCGCTGCCAGTCGCCTCTGGTGATTTAAAGTCTTGGTGATGTTAAGGATGGTGACAGAGCAGATGGTGACGCGGTGAAGGCAGGAGGTGGATTGTGGTGAGACTGGTGAGGAAGAGACGCTGCCTACCGACGGTGTTGGTGAGGTGCCACCGAGTGCAATGTGGGAGTGATTTGACCCGGCCTGACCCGAACCGAGGTCGTGGAGTCAGTGACTTGACCTGACCCGAGGTCACGTGAGTCCAGGAGACCGACACTGCCGCTGCGAGCCGCCGTAAAGTGCTGCCTCTAAGTGAATGGTACAACTCTTGAGTGATCGCCGGGTCGGTCCAGTGCAGTGATGGACTTTGAGAGGAGTTACGAGGGAAGTGCTACGGAGCCGTGTGTTGGTATTGTGTTGTTTTGTTACGATTGGTCGATGGAACAGAGGGACTCTTGACACACGCACTGCCGACTGCTGTACGAAACGGATTGACGGTCGACTGGCGAGGGGTACGAATATGCACTGCTGGTGTGGAACCGTCGGCGGTCGGAATGGTCTGAGGCTGATTTGGATCGTGACCTCACCGGCCATTGTAGCGCCGAATACGTACGGTATTGGCAGCCCTTTTCTCTGGGACTTTTTCACGTCAGTGTTCGATTTCGATCGGTTGGCTGTCTGACGGACTCTCTTGTTTCGTCGGACATGGTAATGTAGCGGCTTCGGCTGTCATTTTAGCGGTTCGTGTGGGTTCCGTCAGCTGCCGGCGCGGTCTGAGTATCGTGCTAGCTCAGTGGGTGATCTTGGACACTGCCGGACGGCGGGCGCCCGTCACTCTACCCTCCTCCCCGCTCTCTCTCTCCTACGCCTCAATGTCCGAGCCGTCACGGCACGGATGCCATTTACATCAGCCAGTAATTGAGGAGCATTCTGTAGTACCAACCGACACGGGCCGCGATTTTAGAGGGGTTGGCACAGACTAGACCGATACTGTGTCGTGGGTAGGCGCCTAGTGCTACACGTGTTGTCTAATGCCACACGTGGTGTCTAGTGCTGTACGTGGCGTCTCGTACTACACGTGTCGTTTAGAATTTCGGTACAGGAGTCCTGTAGTCTTCGATCAGCGGTGTCTAGTTCTCGGATGAGTCACGGTGGTCGATTGTAGGGGTTGCCGATCGTGCGCACATGTGCATTGCCACAGCGAACTACGAGCGAACCTGATAGCATCGAGGGTCTGTCTTGCGTTATTTATTGCTGTTCTTGTATTGGTAGGTCGTCGAGAGCAACTGCCCGTTTTTAAAGAGTACGTGGTGGATGGATGGGACTGATTACTGTTGAATCGCATGATGCATATTTTTATTTGTGAAAGCCTATGGAATGAGAGGGAACAAATGACTTGTCGACTGGTACAGAATCGGAGTATATCCATCTTGAAGTCAGCGCGCCGAGGGACAGGATTCAGTCAGTGTGTGGATGCAAGCTCAATGTGAATCTGGTGATGATTGAAAGAGCGAGTGTGCGTCAAGATCATGTCGAGTTGATTGGGGACTGTGTTGGATATACTCTGATGCCGTGTGGGTCGCGCTGTGGCTGGACTCGGCTGTCTGGGGCCGTCTGAGACAACAGACACTGCCGACTCGCGCGCTGCCCCCCTCGGAGCATGTCTTTCTGTCTGGTGGGCGATCTGGCTCGCCCCTTCAGACACAGGTGCTAATGACAAACGAGTTGTGATTTCAGACGAGTGGGCTCGGGCAATGCATGAGAATACATATTTTTTTCTGAACGATAGCTATTGTTTGTAGGTGACGGGTATGTGTGGCTGTGTTCGGGGAGAATGAAGTTAGCCAGTAGTCAGTTGGTGGAATTGAGATGTTATGATTGGGAGGTCTCAGCCAATGTGTTGTATAGGCAGACCGCGAAGTGACTGCTGAGGGAAAACTACATCACTTGGAGCTCATCCTCGTGGTCTAGGGGTATGACATCCGGCTCATGTTCAGTGCCAGTGGGTTCGGTACTGGTAGGGAGCGACGTGCCTTCACTAAGCCATCTCTCGCCTGACCCTGAATCCGTGAGGAAACTAACATCAGCTCTGTAGGCGATCTTTCAACGTGTCCGCCGTGACTGCGAGCGGACAGATCTTTCACTCCCTTAGTACAAACACAAAGTGGTAGTTTTTCTTAGGTCTGTATTTGGGGTGACCGGCCAACATTCGGCCCACGAAGGACCAGCGAAAAAGCTCATCGGCATGAAGCTGCCACAAGTGACGAGCAACGAGATTCATTAGTTCACAACAATCGGCGATTAAAACACACCATAAACACCACAATGGCCCTGGCTATATCCCTGGGTAACAGTAAATCGCTGAATTTTATTGACACGCTAGACAATAAAAACAATATCAACTCGTTATTATAAAGACAAAACAAACAGAACACCATGTACATTAGCAGCCACAGGTAACACCTATGACGAGAACTCGAGTATCGAGATTGAGTTCAGTACAGAACAACGCACATCGATAACATGTGACAATGCGATTGCGATTGCGAATAATACCCTTCATCGCACGAAAGACTGCGAGCGCTAACAACTGTCGATGTCGTTACATCGACGACGAAAGACGACTAATGCCCGCACGTTAGCACACAATCGGCTATACATCACTGCAGGCTAGAGACGGTCAACACCGTACATCTTTACAATGCTCAGCGCCGCTGAGCTTGTAAGGTGAGTCAGCGGTACAGTATGGCCTTAACACGTCATTACATAAGGTATAACAGCTTAGCTGCAAGTCAAGACCAACGAATCTCGCCCTCACTGTATTCCCCACATCATACCACCCCCATGACCAACGGGCGCTGACAGACAGATGTTATCTAGGGGCACGAGGAGGACGGGGGGGGGGGGGAGTGGCGGCGCCGACCGACGCCAAAGTCGGCGGCCGGGCGCATCTTGCGGGGTGGGATGAGCCTGAGCGCCTGTGAAGCGCAGAGAGAGGGTCTCAGTCAGGTCCCCGGCCGCTCGTTAGATCCATGTTTTCGAGGTCCCGCACCGTAATTACTGAACCCAGCCCCCTGCTGTGACCTGAATACCTCGGTCTCTGGAGGCGGGATGGGCCGCAGATCAGAGGGCGTCAGCTGTGCGCGGCGCTATGCCAACGGGCCGCGGCGGGGTGCGTAGACGGGGACAGTTTTAGGGACGGGGGAACCGGGAGGGAGGCTGACGGCAGTTCAGTACCCTTCCCCGCGGCCGACGCACCAGAAGCCCTCACCAGTGTGCTCCGAGAGGGTGGGACGATCCACGTTGGATCGACAGAAGCACCAAGATATCCTTAACTGACCATCCAACTCGCGACGGCACCATCTCGGCCCTGTGACTTGAGGTGCTACGAAAGGTTGAGGCGAGTGCAGGTAGCGCTGGCTGCTGCCCGACGCAGCAGCCAGCAGCGTGAACCGCCTGCCGCCCCGGTAGGTGCCGTTACGGCCGGGCGGGCAGTCTCCGGTGGCGACAGAGTGTGTCTGCGTACTGCTGTAACCCAGTGCCATCAATACAGCCGCAACAAGGGCTGAACTCGTAAGCAGTTTAATTCCTCATACTCTACCGAAAGTGTCCGAGCCACAGCACTGTGAAAACAAGCTCGCCTACCGAAGAGAAGGAAGATTCAACGCGCCGCTATGCCAGAGAGGAAGCCCTGGGCGCAATCCGGACCGAGAAAGGCGGCCACCGGACAGGTACTCGCCCTGATGCCGCACATAGCGTCAGCCAGTCGGGTCGCGGCGGGACAGGTGGGAGGAACAGCAGCGTTGCACTCCGGCTCTCTGTGACGCGAGATGGCCCGAATCGGTCTGGGGTCGGCGATGTTGCTGGCGGCGCCCCTGCTACTGGTCGTAGCAGGCCCAGGTGAGGTGCTGCACCGTCCCGGGGCGATCTTCGTCCGCCGCGGGATGGCGAGTATGGTGGGAAGCACGTACCGCGTGTTAATACATCTACATCCCTATGGATACGGGGCCGAGATTGTTCTTAATTGAAAAGTCCCAACCTTCGGATACTTAAATGGAGTCTCTCCACAGTTCGAAGTCCTCGAGTTTCCCATTCATCGTGAAAATTTTCACATTTATCAGTTCCGTTCCGTACGCGTCGCGAATCCGAGTGAATTTTCCATTACTGGCCGATTCGACGTCGGTAACCCCCGTTTGGCCGTGACGGGGGATCGACTTAGGCGTGACTAATGACTATGTCAGGCGTGCATGCCTATGTTTGAATATTTGTGGACTACCGTCATGTCACCAAAACTGTAAGCGATTAACCGTGCCCCGCACCGCATCCTTCACGGCGCGGTGCGCTATATCGCCGAGGAGGCTATAGGCGCGCACATAGCCGTGGAAACGCTCGCGCACGGCTCAGGTTGGCTGAGCCGTGACTCTAGTCGGCTCTCTCCCGACTCGACACGGCCGGAGTAGTGCTCTTCCTCGACCTCGCCACGCAGTGATATGAGTACCGGGGGTTCCCCAGTCCAGTCAGGACCTGTTGTGCCCGAGTGGCGCGACAGTGTTTTCTTCACTGTGCGTACAGCGGGTAACATTGTGCCTGTCCAGCTATACTTTGCTATTCTTGCTGCATTCGAGTAGCATGCTTTTTCTTCATGTGTCTGTGAAACTTGTAATATGCCTATTCCACAGGAATTCTTTTTTTTTCATTTCAGAGAAAAGGCTGCCGCACCTTAAGCCTTGGTTACAGGCAGGTGCCCACTGCGAAAGACCACCCTTAACGCTGCTTCACGAAGCTACCTCACGCCCATTTCACAAACTATTTCACCTATTAATACCAGCTGAGCTACCTAATATGTTGAGTGTGTTTTGTCTTCTCCTCAGGGAGCCAGCACCTGGATCCAGCACTGAGCTCCACAGGAATTTCTGCGAAGCTCTTTATCAAGCCGGGATCGTGCGGAGCACACCTGGCTCGTGCTGAGGCGGGCGCTTTTAACCCAGTTTGGCGGTAAGACAGACCCTGCCCGACTGGCTAGCCAAATTCAACAGGCTAGGATGGGGCGCAATACCCCGGCGCGAGCATTTGCCCTACAAATTGGCCGTTTGGCTCGCCTGGCCTACCCGGAGCTATCTAATGACACCGACGCCAGAAAAAAAGCAAACGCAAAGAGCCCTTTTTAGCCACATTGCTTTGGAACAATTCACGATGGGTCTACCGCCCCCACTCAGTCCACCAATCTATGAGCGTCGGGTGACGTACTTTCAGGAGGCAGTGGAGCTGGCAGCTCATCATGAAGAAAAAAATGCATCGATACATGAAAAGATCCACTATACATGCCATCCATGAGGGAATGACCCCTTCTCCATGAGGCTATCCTCCAAGTCGGGATATCCTTTCACGCCGGGGAACCATCAGCTCCAATACATGACGCCGATACACACCACCGGAAGTGGTTCCTCAGGTGGAACAGAGCCAGAGCCACGTAATATGAGAGGGCCGCCCGGCGAACACCTCCCCGAGGGCAGAACCGCGGTTCATGATTCATCTGCTACATCGTAATACAATCAATATGCAATGGCTGCCAAGAAAGCACACAAATTCACCTTGTGTCCATGTTAAAATGCAAAAACGTCATATAGACAGTCGTTATGTTTCATGTTCCAAATCACCATGTCGCTTGGTTTCATATTTCACTCACATTTCGCAGGTGGAAGAGGGTGTACAGAAAGGTTTCGGACCGCTACGTCTTGCGCCCCATGAAGGTGGCCAAGAGGTGCACGTGCGCCCTCTACTGGCCAGGATGGTGGAGCGGCGGTATGAGGTAACCCTCAGCGGCCCCTTCGGCCATGGAAGAGTACCCGTGACGGCGGTACCCGCTGGTCCCGACCGACGCCGCCGCCGACCCCGCCATCAGCACCCGACAATTATGACAAGGACGTAGACTCTGAGCTCGAGTCGACTACGGAGCTCGAGTCGGAGACAGAAGAATACAGGATGTCCCCGACTCAGCCCGTTTGGGGCGAGGAGCCGGTCGGGCAGATTATCCAATGTGCGTCGCCCTGGCCGGACACGCCCGATTGGGACGATGAGGTCGAGGAAGAGGGGTTCCTTCGGTTTTTAGCCTCCCTTGAAGAGGAACTCACCGGGCCGAAACCACCCCTCTGCCACCGTTCGCAAAACAAACTGACATGGAAAAATAGACTGTCATATACTCGTATGACTGACCGTGACATATAAACGGGTCAACCTCAGACTCAAGACAAGTGTTTCCGAGCCCGGCGGCACTCAAGAGTCGCGGCAGTACGGGCGGCTGCGCGCGGTGCACCACCCGCGCACACGAACCGCCGCCGCAGCCGCCACCACCGCCACCTGGTGGCGCGATCCCGGAAGGCCCAGGAAGGGGAGTAAGGGGACCCTTTTTGACCGTCCGTGGGAGGGAGTATTATTATGTAAGGGCAAAATTCAGCGCAAGGAGCATATCGGCGAGGAGCGGCGGGCCGGAGTACCAGAGTGCGTGTAAGGCCAGTCCGCCGTATGATAGCCTCCGGCGGGAAAGGCGTGCCCGCCGGGTGAAAGGCAGCGGCTGGCCGGCACCTGGGGCTCGCGGGCCCGTCTCTCGGGGCATTTGCCAGTGCGGTGTCGTCGGGGCAACACCTTTCGGTAAGATAACTTTTCCCTCCCCCCTAAATTAATGCTGCAGCGCCCGGGCGCTGCGGAAGTCCCCAACATGTGTCATGGATCTTATTTGGCTCTCCGACCGGCCGCAAATAGCGGTGGGCACTCCCGTTTATAACCAGGAC